TCTCTCTCTCTCTCTCTCTCTCTCTCTCTCTCTCCTTGTGTATCACAATAACATCCAGCCTTACAAAAGGATGTCATGACCCTTGACACAATGTGGAAAAAAGGTTTATGCAACTGGAGGTGGAAATGGTTACATGTGGATCAGAGGACACAAAGTAACAACTGTAGGGTGAAGGGAATCCAGAGATTTAACGTACAAGGACTATATTTAATAACTCTTTTTAAAATACACAGCAGGGGGGTTGGTAAGAGATGGCTTAGCGGTTAAGAGCACTGGCTGCTCTTCCAGAGGTCCCGAGTTCAATTTTCAGCAACCACATGGTGGCTCACAACTGTCTGTAATGAGATCTGGTGCCGACATACATGCAGGCAGAACACTGTAAATATAATAAATAAATAAATCTTAAAAAAAGAAAAACCCAAACAAAAATAAAATAAAACACAGCACAAGAGTGTATCTTGCTGACACATACATTTGCACACACAAGAGAATAAATAAAGTGATAACATGTTTGTTTGTTTGATCTTCATGTATCTCATATTCTCCTGTTGTATACCTCAAACATATATAACTAATAAAGAAAAAAAAAAGGGTAGGTGCCTCCCCCAGGGCCAAAGGCTACATGCAAACTTCAGATACCTCAGCTCACCGATAACTCAGATAACTCAACTTGCAAGCAGAAGTAAGGGGAGCCACAGACCCAGGACAACCCACATTAATTAAAGCATGTTTGCGTGGTGGTGTTACCATCATCATCACTAGCATACATTCTTTGTACAGACTAATGGGCTTTATTACATTTTCAAGTATATCATGTGCCTGTGTGTGTTTGTCACCACCGCTGCTGCCCCCACCCCCACCCCCCTCCCCACCCACCCCCATACCCCACCCCCGGCTAAGAGGTGGAAGAGGTTACAAAAGAAAGAACGTGTAGCCTCTGAACCAGCCGAGCTTCACAGCCGGCTACCAGGCAGGAAAGCCCAGGGACTTAAACCCTAGGAGCAAAAACTCAGGCGAGCCTGGGTTGGCGGACTCCGCTGGTGGTCCCGGATCGGCTCGATGGCCCCGCCCAGTCCCAGAAGCAGAGGCTCTTGGCTAAGGCTACGTCATCCACTCCGCCCCTCCCCGCCTCCAGCCCCCACAAGCGAAGACCCCCCCGCTTCTCCCAGAGGCTGAGCAGACCCCAAAGAAGGCACAAGTCCATTGGCCCAGAGGCAGAGGTGAGCTGCAGTCAATCCTGCTGCGGAAGTGAAGGAACTCAGGGAGGCTGGCCGATATGGGGGCTGGGGTCCAGGGAGAGACGGGTGGGTGGGCAGAAGGATCCAGGGAAAGGACGGTACTGGAGGGGAGTGGGGACAAAAGCAGCTTCCAAGGTAAACTCACTTGAGTGACTGAGGCCAGGCAAAACACACGGGAAAGATTATCTGTAGCCTGAGACCCTTTCATAGACACTGATGACACGTTTGTACAAAACAAGCAATTTGAGGAGAAACTTCTGGGACGTCAGAAAGGAGTGATTGATTAATAGTTGTGTTTAAGTGACTTTAAAGAGAACTAACGTACACTATTAGGGAGGAGGAAGAGCATTACAAAATCTCCAACAGCCGCCGCAGCAACCGCGCGATAAAGGAAGGCTTTGGTAAGTTTGGAAATGGATGAGAGCATTAAGATTACAGAAGCGCCTCCAGGTCTCTGAAGGATCAATCCCTCAGTCATAAGCCAGAAAAGACTAACTCATTTGCTCCCTTTGGAAGCAAAAGAACTTTCCTTCACTCGGGTGAAGACTTTCCTAGGAAGACTTTCTGTCTCTGCTTATGTTGCAACAGGACTCAAAGCCAAGACAGAAGAGCCCAGGTATTGCCAACTCTTTTGTTATATACAGTTTGAGGCTTAAGTGTACGGGAATCCGTGTGCTATTTATGGCTCCATTCTCTTGTAATTAACTCTCAGGGTGTATATAGTTGCTTCTGTTTCCCAGTCAAACAGAGAATTACCTCCACCTTGCTCCTTCTTTGTTCATCTAATGATAGCAAGTTTACCTGCTATTTTTAATCATGCAAAGAGTACTCGGAACATTCTGTGATTTGGCAGTCACAGGGTAGGCATATAAGTAATCTTTAGTAAGTCTTAGTTTGGGTTAAACTCATTCATAACAATCCCATGGTGGGACCACTGGGCTTGCCCCACTTAGGGGTTAAAGATCTCATCTCCTAACAAGCTGAACATAATTCTTCTGTGGTCCTGTCCCGTATCCCTGTGTCAGTGAGGAGAGGCATGTTTCCAAGCAGAGAAAGAGCAGACAGTATTATGCCTGCAGGGTCATTGGGATGCTATAGCTCTGAGCTGAGGTCAGTTTACTGTCCTCCTGGTCAGTAGTTGGCATCGAAATGTTCAATGTGTCCTTTTTGGCAAGGACTTGAAGTCATGTGAGAAAGAGATTTGATCTCTTTTCCAGTGGGTTATTACAGCTGTAAAAGTGTTTTTAGAAGGCTAAATCAAGTGAATAAAATATGTTATACATTAAATGATACAATATTACAAAATTGTTTGATTATATATAGAAGTACATACATAAATGCAAATGTGGGATACACACACACACACACACACACACACACACACACACACACACACATATGCCGGCAAAATGTTGGTTATGTCTGAGTGCTGAAATGAGAGAAATGATTTTTTTATCTATTTACTGTTGCTGAGTTTTCTAAATTGCACATGTACTATTTTTATAATGTTTTTAATGTTTTGATAGTTTAAAAGGCTCTTATGCAAACAAGAGACTAAATCTATGAATTCTAATTGCTCCAATATCATTATTATGGTCTCTAAAAATAGGTATCCTGCTTTCCAGGAAATGAGAAGCTATAAAGACATTTTCATAATAAAAAGCCCATTTAATGATAAAGTCCAGTGGGAGGCTAGCACACACTGGTTCTATAAAGAGCACATTTTCCATAGTGTCTGCACCAGTTCACACCCCAGGGGTAAGGGTTCCTCTTCCCCTAGATCTCACCAGCATTTGTTGTCATTTATTTTCTTGATGATGTGCATTCTGAGTGGGGAGAGAGAGAGCTCAAAGCAACTTTAATTTGCATTTCCCTGGTGGCTAGGAACCTTGGGGACTTCAATCTTCCAAGTCTTTCTTGGCTGTTTTTATTTCTTTCTTCAGAGCTGTTTACTCAGTTGATGAGCCCATTCAGTTACTGGATGATGGGGGGGTGGTGGTGTTAATTCTTTGTAGTTCTTATGGAAGTTCCTAAAAGAAGACAACCTGAATATAGAAAATAGAACTACCAGTCCATTCCTGGGAATGTAGCACAGAGAAATTTGCATAGCAGTGTTTATTGCTGCATTATTCACAGCAGTCAGGAAGTAGAATCAACTTACATGTCCATCAAAATACGAATGTATAAAGAAAATGTGGTACATATGTACAGTAGAATTCCATGATGCCGTAAGAAGTGAAATCATGACATTTGCAGGAAATGGATGGAACTGGAAATCATTAAGCTTATAAAAATAGACAGACTCAAAAAGAAAATACCATGTGGCTTCTCTTATGAGCAGAACCCAGATTTACAATCCCATGTGTATATGTGCTTATAATTTTATTTAATTATATACAATTCTAATTTGTACATGTGTGTATAGGGATGCACTTGATAAGAAAGCAGAAACAACCCAGCTAGAGTCAGGGGTCTGAGAGGAAGCAATAGGAAGAAGGGAAGCTAAGAAGAACAAGGCATATTAACACAGGCACCATGAAGAAACATGTTCATTTGTTTGCTAACTGAAAACAGACTGTGATGGGATGTACAAGACCTGTACCCCATATGCCAGTGCAGAGAAAGGGAAGTAGATACAAAGTTCCATCCCTAACCAAGAAGCCATTTGCAATTGATGCCTGCTGGGAGTGGGAAATCGGTTTTCTCTAATGGAGTGACATTGAGTAGATCAACCATACTTCAGGGCAGCCCCCATGCCCAATAGTAGTTTGCCAACACAAAATTGACTCTGAATATTTTCTGTGTTTTTTGTTTTGTTTTGCTTTTTGTTACTGTTTTGATTTGATTTTCATGTATTTGTTTTGAGAGCAAAAAAGACATTGGGTGGATAGGAAGGTGGGGAGGATCTGGGAAAAGTTGGGGGAGGAGAAAAATATGATCAAAATATATCATATGAAAATCTTTAAATAAGGAAAAATGGATTTAAGGTTCATTTGGCAGGAAAGATATAAATCAACCATGTATGACCCTTAAAGAAAATATCCCCAATTATTCCCAGAGTCGCTATGTGCGGTGTTACTGGAACTTTGCTTGAACTGTACGTATGACTGTGGTGTGATGTCTTTTCAGGATGAAGATGGGAGACAGAGAGGTCAGCTGCTTGTTGACCTCCCTCACTGTAGTCTGCCTAGTGGTAACCCCTGGGAGCAGGGCCTGTCCTCACCGCTGTGCCTGTTACGTGCCCACAGAGATGCACTGTACATTTCGGTACCTGACCTCCATTCCAGACGGCATCCCAGCCAATGTGGAACGCATAAATTTAGGGTGTGTGGGCCTTGCCTGATCCCCTTCTCAGAGAGGAACCACTGATCATCATGGTGACTTGTCCCCCAAACACCTGGGATTACTCTATTTTTTTCTTCTAAAATGAGCTCATAAGAACCTTACATTTGTGGAGACAATAAATATTTTTTCCTGATAGTCTTTTACTAGAACCTTAAGACTCTCTTAGTTGTTTGGGATTCTCATAATTATGGGGCAGCTTAATTCTGAATAAATTTTTACTGGAAAAATTACAGTTTCTATTAAAAGTCATTGTTATAATACAAGGCATGACCAAGCAAGAGGAACTATCCTCCTGTGTAAAAAAAAAAAAAAAAAAAAAAATCATCACCATTTCCTTTTGCGTGGTCTTCTGAGATTTATAAATGCCCACATAGCACATAATGCTAGCCATAGTGAGCTTACTTTAAATACTTGACTTATTAAATCTGACAAATTATGGTGATATTTTAAAGACTATGAAAAATTGTTTGTTTGTATAAATGTACAATCACCAAGAGGAAAGACCGATATTGTGTTCTCCCTATGAGCTGCCCTTGGGCTGAGTGCTGTATGTATTCATTCACTGGTTGTTCTGGCTAGTTTTACATCAACTTGACACAAGCTAGAGTCACTGGAGATGAAGAAGCCTCAATTGAGAAAATGCTACAATACTATCAGGTTATAGGTAGGCCTGTAGGGTACTTTCTTAATTAGTGATTAATGGGGGATGGCCTAGCCCATTGTGGGTGATGTCATCCCTGGGCTGGTGGTCCTGGGTTTTATAAGAAAGCAGGCTGAGCAAGCCATGAGGAATAAGCCAGTAAGCAGCACTCCTCCATGGCCTCTGCATCAGCTCCAGCCTCCAGGTTCCTGCCCTGTTTAAGTTCCTGTCCTGACTTCCTCCAATGATAAACAGTGATGTAGAAGTGTAAGTCAAACAAACTCTGTCCTCCCTGATTTTGTTTTTGGTCATAGTGTTTCATCACAGCAGTAACAAACTAACACTAACTAAGACACTGGTGTTCATAACACCTTTGAACTCAATTCTGTTATCTATCCTTTATAGCTGAAGAAACTGGAACACAAAATGTTTCCAGATTTTACCCAAGAGTCACACAAGCCTTTTTGGGCCTGAGCTCAGAGTCTCACTCATGTGGACTTCAGTGCCAGGCCTCTTAAGCACTGATTACCTCAACCTGCAAGTGTGAGGACACAGTGCCAAAGAGAAAGCCTGAGTCTTAGCATCCACAAAAGAAAATGATAGGCTCAAGCAGATGCTAGTATTTGCATAAATACTTGAGAATGGGAAGGGATGTGGAGGCATGATTAAGAGGTTGAAAGGACTGGGTGGGAAGTGGAACTTCTGCAGTCAAGCGCAGTATTTCAAGAACTCTCTTGGGAACACAGTGGCAGAGGGGCTTTTCTGTTTGTTTCTGCTTTGACATTTGAACTTTAACTGACAGACTCAGCTGATGCCTAAAATGACTTTTTCTTCAGGTACAACAGCCTTGCTAGATTGGCAGAAGATGATTTTTATGGGCTGGACAAACTGGAGTTACTCCTGCTGCACAGTAACGGCATTCACACAGTCCCTGACAAGACCTTCTCCAGTTTGCATTCCTTGCAGGTAAGAAGGGTCGAGGGTGATGGAGTTAGAAGTGCGGTAGAACTGTGAGCTATACCCCCAGAGTTGTCTATCCCCATGGAATAGAAAATGAACATTCTGTAAACTATGGGCAGATATCAAGGAAGGATTTTATATGTGGAAATTAGAATATTAAGAAAATGCTGGGGGACTGAGTAAAATGCTTACACAAGCCGGGCGATGGTGGCGCTCGCCTTTAATCCCAGCACTCGGGAGGCAGAGCCAGGCGGATCGCTGTGAGTTCGAGGCCAGCCTGGGCTACCAAGTGAGCTCCAGGAAAGGCGCAAAGCTACACAGAGAAACCCTGTCTCGAAAAACCAAAAAAAAAAAAAAAAAAAAACAATGCTTACACAAGTATAGGACCTAAGTTTGGATCCCCAGCAGGCACATAAAAACACATCATGGTGGCAAACAACACCTGCGATCTCAGTCCTAGAAGCAGTGGTAGCAGAGTCACTGGCCAATAGAGAGTCACTGGCCAGCCACTCTATCCAATCAGTGAGCTCCATATTCAGTGGGAGAACTTGACTCAAAAACTAATGTGGAAAGCACAAGGAAGACACCTAGCACCTGGTCTCTACACATGCATGCACAAGAGATCACACACAGAAGGAAAGAAACAAGGAAGGAAGGACAGATGGAAGGAGAGCGGGAGAGGATAGGAGGGGACCGGAGGGAGTGAAGGGAGAGGAAACAGATTCAGAGGCCAAGGTTTCTCATACTCCCCAGCTAACCACAAAAGAAATCGACTTTCAGGGATTACTAAACCTTTAAAATTTATCCCTAAAATGCCATTTCTAGTTGTTTGTCTGGAAGTAGAATAGGAGAGTCTTTAACATGGCAGCATTTTATAAATCATTATAAATTTTCAGTTTGCTTTATTTACTTGTTTATCCTCTACCAACTTTAAACTGAAGTTGCAAATGCTCACACAAATGAATAAAACATTGTAAAGCCAGGCGGTGGTGGTGGTGCACACCTTTAATCCCAGCACTCAGGAGGCAGAGGCAGGCGGATCTCTGTGAGTTTGAGGCCAGCCTGGTCTACAGAGTGAGACCCAGGAAAAGTACAAAGCTACACAGAGAAACCCTGTCTTAAAAAAAAAAAAACAACCAAACAAACAACAAAACAAAAAAAAAACAAAAAACAAACAAACAAAAAACCAAAAAAAAATTTGTAAGAATTAGCATACACTTAAGTGAGAAATTAAAGGATTAAATAAATCTATCAATAAGAATAAGGAGAACAAAAGAGAATGTACATGAAGCACTTACTCTGCTTATAACCTTGACACTTTTGAGAAGCTAATTCATGCTGCATGAATTAAAGACTGTTCAACTCGTTAAATAAACACACTGTTCAGGGAAAGCGTAATAGAGTTTATGTTATATGTCATTCATCATAACTTGCATATAACAAATAATAGCAATCAAAGTAATAATATCCACTGTTCACAGAGCCTTTAAATGTCAAGCCAGAGTTATGTTTGGTGTTTTGAGGTGGGGAGCTTCGAGTGCAGTGTATGTATGTGATGATGCTGATTTGGATAGATAAGGCTACATTTGGGACATGTAACTTTAGGAGGAACTGATCCTGTATCCTTCATGGAATTCTCCACCTATTTTATTCTCTTAGCCAGGTTTTCCTCTGACTGAGAAACATTAGGTTTGAGGTTGTACTCCCAGGTGACATTTAGGCCAAAACTTACCAGTTTGACTCTTATTTATTGTAGAAGTTGGCATTCCAGAAAAGCCTCTTTTGTAGAGATGACAATTTGAGTCAAATAGGAAAATGAGTAGGAAGTCACAGTTTTTATAAGTATTTCATGTTCTTTTTTTTTAAATAGTATGTTCAACTAAATAGAAAGGGATTTGATAAATACTAAGGCATCATGAAACATTCAAAATTATTTGGCCTCCAATTCAGAATCAATTAAGTTCATATTATTGAAAAAGACAGCATGCCAGATGTCCAGCAGCTGGTGAGTGGATAAACAGACTGTGTAACATGCATACAATGTAGAAACAAAAAGGAATGAAGAGTTGGTATGTGCTGCAACGTCTCAGGAACATCTGGCTAGGTGAAGGAAGCCAGGCACAAAATGCCACATGGTGTATGATTCTAGTTATATGAAATGTTTAAAATACACGAATCTTTAGAAACAGAGAGAAAATTATTAGAGTGAAGGAAAGACAAAAATAACTGTGGATGTCAACTGGTTTAATTTGAGGAAATGACAATTTCCTAAGATGGAATAGTAGAGGTGGATCTAGTTATACCAGTGGGTATACTAAAAACCAATGTGCTGTGCTCTAAGAAGGGCCTAGAGGAGGGACATGAGAGAGTAAAATGAGGTAATGGGGACAGAGAGTCACCTAAAAGCAGAAGGGGAATCATTTGGGGGAGGATAGGAACCAACGGAGTGGACAGGGCAATGGAAGGTCATGGGAGGCAGATACTGGCAAAGCACAATGATATATATTATGGAGATGTCATAATGACACTATAATTAAGAACAAAATGTCTTTTAACTACATCTCAACTAAGATGTGGTAAATGGGGAAAATTGAAGTCCATAGATAGTCTTATAAACCTTAAATTTATTTATATAAAGTGTTTCTTCTACTTCTCCAGCTTCTTTTCCTTCTCCTTCTTCACGATGTTTTTCACTACACACAAAAGTAGGCAGGAGAGTGTAATGAACTCAGGGAAGCAATGGAGGGTGAGGAAGGGAACCAGCCAGGGAGGCCAGGGGGAGGGAAATGAATTCCACAGTGCACCACATGACTTTGTAGTATAATCTTAAAAAAGAAGACAATTGCAATACTCCAGTGCACTGATGACCCAGCTTCAGTAGTTATCCGAGTGTGACAGATCGTGTCTCACTTGCACCCTGAGCATCACATTCCGCTGAGCTGTTTTGAATCCAATCCAAGTTATGATGCTTGATCTTATACACAATGAAAGATTAAAGAGACTTTAAAAGTAACTACAACATCACTATCTTATATATTATAACTTTAGTGATAATTCCTTAATACTAACAACTGTTTGTATGTGTCCTAATTTCTCTGTTATTGTCACATTCAATTGGCAACTAATTTGTTTGAATTAGGTTTTAATTAAGGTAGGCACATTTCATAGGATTAATCTCAACATATTTCTATATTCATAAACTTTTATTTTTTATGACAGTTCCTTTGAAAAAACAAATATGTTCATATCTTTATTTGCAGGTCTTAAAACTGAGCTATAACAAAGTCCAAATAATTCAGAAGGATACTTTTTATGGGCTCAGGAGCTTGACCCGGTTGCACATGGATCACAACAGCATTGAGTTTATCAACCCTGAGGCATTTTATGGACTCACCTCGCTCCGCCTGGTACATTTAGAAGGAAATCGGCTCACAAAGCTCCATCCAGACACATTTGTCTCATTAAGCTATCTCCAGATATTTAAAACCTCTTTCATTAAGTACCTGTACTTGTCTGATAACTTCCTGACCTCCCTCCCAAAAGAAATGGTCTCCTACATGCCAAACCTAGAAAGCCTCTATTTGCACGGAAACCCATGGACCTGTGACTGCCATTTAAAGTGGTTGTCTGACTGGATACGGGGAAAGCCAGGTATCTATACTGTTTGTTTCTTAGTACTAATTAAATAGAATAACCAGCTGGAGGTGCTTTATCTGTAATAGAAAGGCCTAGATCATGTAGACGCAGAAAATGAAGTCCCCAAAATAACCAGTGACAATGATCTCTGTACCCCTACAACTGTGTTTGCATCACAGTGGGAAAACAGGAAGCTCTGTCTGGGAAGCTGACAATCTTTTCCTACTTGGCACTCTGTGGCTTAAAGTACCAAGGCCATGCTTCTTGGCCCAACTGTAAGATCTTCTAGTGTGGCACAGGCCAGTCCTCAGCCTCTCTAAAAGCCATCCTCCCCTCCCCTTCCCAGGCAGGCACTTTCCTTCCAGCTCCTGACACACCACAGCTGTTTCTGCACTGAACCCTGCTGCACTGAACCCTGCTGTTGCCGCTGCCTGGAGCAATCCCCTTCCTTCTCAGCTTCCTCTGTTCCCAGGTAGAAGCTCTGCTCAGCATTTCCTCTCCAGGAGAGTCACACAGCTTATGTACCCCAGCCACATCAGAATCAGGACCTCAACACTCCTGTAGTTTGCTCTTGTTTACTTTCTTGAATGAGTATTATACTATACTTACAGAATTTACTTATAGAATGAAAAGTCTGCTGCCTTTGCTATGTCTAATTTATCTATCCTTAGCCTCTATAATACATCTGGGACACAGTATGTACTTAATATTTTTTGTTAAACTGTTATTATATAGGTAAAAAGAAATGAGTTCACCATGTATCTATTAGTTACCTATGGTCTTACTATGTCTCAAACATGTGTGTATGAAAATATATAAAAATGTATGTGTCATGTACCAATATACAATGCACATATATGTCATATAGTTACATACATACATACATACATATATATATATATATATCAAATATATACATATATATATCTCAAATACAAACAAACCTTTAGGACTAAAATCTTTCAGTCATGTCTAAATGACAGGTTCCATTGTGCTTTTGCTCTCTTACTGACGATTTTACAAGACTCATGAATTAATCAATCACCTTTATACTTAGAAATTTTTTCTTCCACTCCAAGCAGTCTGATAGCCACTCCTAGGCAGCATGGCAGATTCTCTGACACTTCCTGCAGTCCAAAGTTAATATATTCATCTCTACTTGCATCTTCCATTCTTTAGTTCCACAAAACTCTTGGGTTGCCTTTCAACAAACAGAGAGACTTTTTCCATTTCCTGACATGCATTTGTTCATGGATATAAAACTTGAGTCTTGCTGATCTGGTCTTATGCATATCTATGTATGCCACCTCTTTACAATGCCAAATCATAGTGTAGTCTTCATAAGACCATCTCAAGTAGCAAACCTAACAAATATCTGCAACAGAATTGAAAACAACATAAAAAGCTACAACAATATTTCTAGGGAGACACATGGTAATGGCTGTAGAGAGACTGCAAGTGGCCAGTTTCTACCATCAGACAGACATATTTATCTCAATTTGTAAGTGAAAATGTACAAACATCAGGGTCTTAGAATTAGTCCTGCCAGCTGCCTGTCTTCCTGACATTTCCCTTCACCCTTCTATCCTCACCCACTCCTCTTTCGTGAACTGCATCTTTCTTGAACACCCCTCGATCAGGGTTTGGACATACAGACCAACAAACAGAGCATACTGTCTGGTGGGAAGACAACCAACCAAACAATGCTTTCTAATTGTGAATGCTGAAAGTTAAGCCAGGGAAAGCAGAGGGCACCATGAGAGGTAAAGTAGGGAGCCCACTGGAAATAAGTGCTGATCATACTGAGTCCTCCAGGAATGTGTATTCAGTGATGGTACTGGTCATGTCAGACAAACAGCTCGTGCCAGAGCTTGGCATTGAATGAGGGCTGAGGGATGGAAAACACTTGTGTGGGACTGGAAACCTGTGTGAATGGAATGAAGTGACAGTCAGACTTGAATCTGAGCCAACCCGAGGCATGTTAGCTCTGGTCCAGGCACAAGCTGCAATGAACATCCCAAGATATGAATGCAATGTTGTGATGTGGTTTAACTAAGCCAGAAGTTAGCTATGCCTTCTGCTTCATGAGGTCAGATCCAGGGCACTGACAAGCAGGTAAGGGTCACATATTGTCAGTAGGTGGTGGATGGCATTGGAAGGAGCTCCTTACAATGGTTCAAAGCTTTTTATTCCTTCTACCTACCTCCTCTGCACAATATTATTCTACAAAATTAGGTGAACGATGATTGATCAAATTTTACCTGGTATAGTAGTGTTCCCTTATCCGTGAAGGATACATCCCAGGACTTGCAGTGGATGCAGAAAACCATAGGAACTGCCAAACAATACCGTGTTTATCTCTGCACACTGTGGCCCTAACTTTGGAAGTTTAAAGTACAGTAGCAAAATTAACATAGGTTTCTTTTTCATTCTTCCTCATTTCACAGCTACATTTTCACCGTAAATCAAAGAACTTCAGCATGTGTTTTGCAATGTGTTGTTTTGTTTTGTTCTTTCCTAAGTTGAAAGGTTTCTTCTGAAAGGAACCATCTCCATAGCTTCTCCCCAGCGTATCTGATTGTCAGCATCACCACTCTTGTGTTTAAGGGTATGCCTAATAAAATAGGGATTACTTGGATACAAACGCTATGATACCATGATAGTTTATGCGATGCCAGAGATCATTGCTTAGTAGCTATTAAGCATGGAGCATATGCTGTACACATATACTGGAAAGAAGGATTGTGTCCCGTGCTGGGGGTGAGGCCCACTGAGACAACAGATTTCATCAGAGTACTCAGAACTGCATGTGATGTCAAACTGATGTTTCTTTTGGAATTTTCCAACCCATATATTCGGACCATGGTTGTCTTCAGATGAGAGGACTGGTACACACCTAAAGGGTTTAAAAGTCTTTGGCCAGAGCGACTTTGCCCTTTACAAGGAAACTGTACATATGTGAAGCTGTTCTCAGGATTTACATCTAAGACATCTAATGTTTCAGTTACCTGCTGTGTACAACAACAGTATAGGAACTATTATGTGGGACAGTGTGGAAGTCTCAGACTGTGATTTGTTTCAGAGAAAATTCTATAGTTCTTATTTAGTATTGAATGACCAGCTTTTTAAAATAGGCTCATCAGAGCAATATTTAAAATATTTAAAGTGCCCAATATGGCATCTCATTACCCAAACAGGACTCCTTTGTGACTAGTAGTGTATGATTTGCAAACTCTGACATTACCAGACACGAGTCTCTCCCCTCCCCCATTACACTTGGCTCTCTAGTACTGAGTCTATCTTATCCAACAGGACCATCACTAAACCTGGACTGGCCATCCCAACTACCTTCCATGTTCTATCAATACTCACATCTTATTGGCTGGTTTTATCCACATCTTTGTCTCTTCTGTCTGCATCTCTCCATCTCTATTTCTACTAAGCTAGAACATAAACTGTTCTTGTAGATAATGGAAAAATGCTTGGATTTTTAGTGCTATCCCAGAATTTAGAGATTTTCAAGCAGGTTACCTTTTAATGTATAGTAAAGTTCTGTGACTATCTTAAAACCTTGGCATGAGGAGATGAAGTGTTATGAACTAAAGTGCTGAACATGAGCTTATGATTTTGTTTCTCTAGATAAGGAAATGGTTCATTCAATGAATATTAATCAAGTACTAAATATATAGCCAGGTCTTAGTATCCAGGCCTAATAAATACAGCTGTGAATAAGGCAAATAAAACCCCTGTAACTGTGCATATTGTATTGTAGCATGATGTGTGGACAATATGTTTTCTAGAAATCATTTCAGAAACTTCTTTGAACTCTAGTGAAAATATTTCTTCAAAGTATTCATGTGTTAATTTGTAAAGAGGCCACATTTTTTTAAAATAATTAAATTATCATTTTTTTCCTAGGTATAATAAAATGCAAGAAGGACAGAAGCCCCTCCAGTCCTCAGCAGTGTCCCCTCTGCATGAACCCCAGGATCTCTAAAGGCAGACCCTTTGCTATGGTACCAGCTGGAGCTTTCCTGTGTACAAAGCCAACCATTGACCCATCACAGAAGCCAAAGAGCCTGGCTATTCAGGAAGACAATGGATCTGCCTTCCTGTCACCCCAAGATTTCATAAAACCTTTCGGTTCCCTGTCTTTGAACATGACAGACCTGTCTGGAAACAAGGCCCATGTGGTCTGTAGTATCCAAAAGCCGTCCAGGACATTGCCAGTTGCATTCACTGAAGAAAATGACTACATCATGCTAAATATGTCATTTTCAACAAATCTGGTGTGCCGTGTAGATCATAATCACATTCAGACAGTGTGGCAACTACTGGCTTTGTACAGTGACTCTCCTCTGAGACTGGAAAGGAAGCCACAGCTTACTGGGACTCCACAGCTGTCCTCCAAATATAAACAGGTGGCTCTTCTGCCTGAAGACATTTTTACCAACATAGAGGCTGATTTCAGAGCCGATCCTTTTTGGCTCCAACAAGAAAAAGTTTTCTTGCAGCTGAACAGAAACACCACCACACTTAGCACATTACAGATCCAGTTCTCCAGTGATGCTCAAATCACTTTACCAAGGGCAGAGATGAGACCAGTGAGACTCAAATGGACTATGATTCCAAGAATGAACAATACCAAACTGGAACACACTGTTTTGGCTGGTGGCACTATTGCCTTGGACTGTCCGGGCCAAGGTGACCCTTCACCTCACTTGGAATGGCTTCTAGCCGATGGGAGTAAAGTGAGAGCCCCTTATGTTAGTGAGGATGGGCGAATCCTAATAGACAAAAAAGGAAAATTGGAACTCCAGATGGCTGACAGCTTTGACACGGGCCTTTACCACTGCATAAGCACCAACTATGAAGATGCTGACATTCTTACCTATAGGATAACCGTGGTAGAGCCCCATGTCGAAAACATGCATGAAAACGGAGTTCAGCAAACAGTGGTCTCTGGTGAGACACTCGATCTTCCATGCCATTCCACTGGTATTCCAGATGCTTCTATTAGCTGGGTTCTTCCAGGAAACACTGTGTTCTCTCAGTCATCAAGAGACAGGCAAATTCTTAACAATGGGACCTTAAGAATATTACAGGTTACCCTAACAGACCAAGGTCATTATCGCTGTGTAGCGGCCAACCCATCAGGGGTGGATTTTTCCATTTTTCAAGTTTCGGTCCAAATGAAAGGCCAAAGGCCAGTTGAGCATGATCGGGAAGCAGATGGATCTGGACTTGGAGAACCCAATCCCAGTGTTCCCTCTAGGCAGCCACCATCTTTGAAACTCTCTGCATCAGCTTTGACAGGGGCAGAGGCTGGAAAACAAGTCTCCAGGATACGTAAGAAGGACAAATATAGAGAGTTCATACATCGACGGCGTGGGGATTCCACACTCCGGCGTTTCAGGGAGCATAGGAGGCAGTTCCCTCTCTCTGCTCGGAGAATTGACCCACAACACTGGGCAGCACTTTTAGAGAAAGCAAAAAAGAATCCTGTGCCAAAGCAGCAAGAAAATACCACAGTAGAGCCAGTGCCGCTGGGTGCTCCACTTGTGGCGCTCCCTGCTGAGGAAGAACACGCTTCCGGTATGATTTCTCTAGATGAAGAATTCACAGTTCATAAAACTAAAGCTTCTGGTGTCACAGAACGGTCATCAACTGCTGACTCCAGACCAGTATCTTATGGCTTTGTGACAAGTGTAACTTCTGGCATAGAAGTCTTCTCTACTATGAATCCACAAATACTACCATCTAATCACCGTCCCGATTTCAAACTATCCAATGTTATTGACACCACAGCTGTGTCAAAGAGAATACACCCAAGTGGAACAAGCAAACTAGAAAATGCAACCAACCAAAATTCAAGCATTATCTTTCCATCAGTATCTGGAGTAACTGAAATTCAGGATGCTGTTCAGATGGGGAGAAGAGCATCTTCCCAAAGTACACACCCAGTCCCAGGGGGAACCATGGCTGCTGATGGCTGTGCCAACATGCCAAGTATCTGCACCAGCAAAGCTGATACAGTCTTGCCATCAGCAAATCCAACAGAGGATTATGAGCATCACACACTTATAACAGGAGAGAGCCGAGCGAGGAATAATGACACTTCTTCTCACACTGCTAAAGATCCTAGCTTCCCTAAGCACCTTTCAGATTCACACACTGCTGCCCCTTCTCTATTTCACATGCCTAGAAACAGTACCGCTAACTTCACCTTGTCCAGGCACTTTGGGAGACAGAGCAGAGGACGACTTATAAGCCCATATAGAACCCCAGGTCTCAGACGGCATAGATATAAGATTGTGAGGCCAGCACTCAAGGGACCTGCTAACAGAAGTACTAGTGAATTTTCAGCAACAGAGCCCAATAGGATGTGCCCAACCTGTTCTTCTACAGAGAGGCTCACCCTGGCTACTACAGCATGGTCCATTCCAGGCTCATCCATCAGCACCCTCCCCAGAGCTATCATCACCGGGGACATAGCAGAAAAGTCTACCACTGTGGTTCAGAACCCAGCATTATTATTTATGAACAAACAAAACGTAGATATTGAGACATTAACAACTACTATAAAATATTTCAGAGATGAAAGTACCCAAGTGACTCCCAATGAAGCAAGCATGACTTCTGCTCCAACACCTGTATCCCTGGAAAAAAAACCAGTAGACAATAGTGGTTACCCGAGTGTGTCTAGTACCATTCAAGCTGAAAGAGATTCAGTGGTGACAACACCACTTCCCAGTCTGCGCAGCAAACCCTCGATGCCAACAAAAGCAACAAACAAAAAATTCTCAAGAAAGAAAATTCCCCGGCACCAAATCTTTACAAATAACCATAGCAAAAAAGGGATGTTAAAGAATCTGTATCAGTTTGGTTTACAAAAGAACACAGCCACACTGTTTCCCCAAATAGCTCCTCTTTTACCCACAGATCATAGCCCCCCCTTACCTTCTACAACAGTCTCTGCAACTCTGATGCAAACTCTGTCCGCAGCAATGGCTTCCACTCACCACAATGCCACTGACGGTGCCAGAAGTCTCTCAGGTGGCAAGCAGCAGCCCTTCACCAACTCCTCCCCAGGGCTTCCTAGGGCCACAAGCAAGGGAGGTAGTACAATGACCTTCCTGTCAATGGAAACTGCCACCCTGGCAACTCCTGCTGCCCCTGAATCTGTCATGATCTCTGAAACCCAAATAGCAAGTTCCAAAGAAGCAAAAGACCAAATAAAGCGGCTTCAGAAGAGCAGGCATGACCCAAACACCACCCCAGGGCAGAGTTCAGGCTTCAGCATGTACCTGGCTCCAACAGCAGCTGACACTTCCTCGACTTTCACTCCCTCGTCACGACAAGACACTAGCAGAATTGTAAGCACAGTTGCTCTCCACTCAGAAACCAGTCTCTTGGGCCTCACTGAAGTGTCACAGAAGTGTACTCAGACTTTGGGAAATACAACAGCTTCAGAAAGGACTTTGTTCAACCTTTCACAGGAGGTAACCACCATGAAAAGAGCTTCAGACATACCACCATTCCTCATCAGTGGGGTGCCTCTGATGCCCATTCCTTCCCCTCCTCCCTTTACTAGGGGTGTGGTTACAGACAGTGAGGTCACACCCACATCGATTTTCAAGACGATGACCAATAGAATGGTCACCATTAATGAATCCTCAAAGCACAATAGAGATCTGCAGCAATCCTCAGCAGAGCCTGGCCCAGATCCCAGGATCAGAACTGGAGCCACTTACTCTACCTCCTCTAATCTGTTCCTTTCAACACCTGTGCCAACATTAAGAATAAATAAACCACAGAATTCTAAATGGAAGCCCTCTCCCTGGCCAGAAAACCACTTTCAGCGCAAGTCATACTCAGAAACTATTGTAAAGGGCAAAAGACCAGCAGGGAGCATGTGGTCCCCTCTCAGCTTTCCAGAGGCCAGCACCCATGCCTTACATTGGAATGGACAGAAGCATGCCGAGAGTGTCTTTGATAAGAAACCTGTTCAAAATCCAACTTCCAAACTCCTTCCCTCTGGCTCTTTACCTAGAACTATATTGGAAAAACCAAGAATAATTGGAGGAAAGGCTGCAAGTTTTACTATTCCAACCAACTCCGATGCCTTTCTTCCCTGTGAGGCTGTTGGAAACCCCCTGCCCACCATCCACTGGACCAGAGTCTCTCCAGGTATTTGGAACCATTAACAATACCTTAATTATAAAACAAGGACATGATTGTATCTTTCAGAGTTGTCTTTAAAGTACCAACACTAGTTTTAAATTTCTCCAAAATATAAAACCTATTGATATCCTCATTTGACATTTGCATATTCCTCATTAGAAGAAATTTTTTTAGATTTTACTTTTTAAGTGTGTGTGCAAAAATGTATGTGCAAATGTGTGCATGCATGCATGTGTGCATTTGCACACATTAGGGCAGGTGCCTTAGGAAAGAGGTACCAGATTCCCTGGAACTGGAGCTCTCTCTCTCCAACCCCTATTAGAAGGTTTTAAATTTTAGATTTATTTTATGTGTATGAGTGTTAGGCCTTCATGTGTGTATATGCACATATGTACCTTATATGCACACAGGTCAGAAGAGGGGGTCATACCTCCAGGAACTGGAACTGCAAATGATTGTGAACCAGCATGTGGGCATTGGGAACTGAACATAGGTCCTCTGCAAGAGCAACAAGTGCTCTTACCTGCTAAGCCATCTCCCCAGCCCCTACTAGGATGTTTTTAAAGTGTTAAGAAGAGTTTGGTAGGACAACTAGATGGCTCCATGTGTAAAGGGAAACTAATGCCAAGCCTGATGACCTGAGTTCAATTCCTGGGACAGATATGGTCGAAAGAGAGAACCAACTCCCACAGGTTGTTTTCTGATCTCTACACACTGGCAATGGCATGTATGTGTCCATATATACACACAAAAACCAGCATGTGCCTATATATACATACACAAATCAATAAAATGTAATGATAAAGTTTAAACAAATAGTTTTTAAGGCTAGATAGAATGGCACATGCATATACTCCAAGCAATGAGGATGAGTTCAATGCCAGTCTGAGCTAAAAAATTAGATCCCATCTCAAAACAAGTTTTTAAAAAATAGTTTGGGCCAATTGGTTATCTGATATTAAATGGTCTGCATTAAAATCTTATACATACAGGTAACGTAGGGCTGAGAAGATTGTGTTTTATTTATTTATATATACTTATTATAATTTATATGCTATACACACATACACACTCACACACACACACACACACACATATATATATATAAATAATAATTTAAAAGAGGCCATAAATTTGAAAAAGAGAAAGAAGGGGGTACAGGGGAGGAGCTGAAGGAAGGAAGGGGGAGTCAATGATCTAATCATATTGTAATATCAAAAATAAAAACATTAAAATGAGTAATTTGTTAAAGCCAACAAAAATACTTTGAAAGTAGATCAAATGTACATATATATGTGTATGTATGTGTATATGTATAAAAATTTACATAGAAGAATGTCATGTTGAACTATCTGGATTTTAAATTTAAATTTATGTGAATAAAAAATTGAGAAACACTTTTAGCAATCTGAAGTTTTTTTTAGTAGTATTTATTGTCAGCTTAACAAAACCATAGTTTCATGTTTTCTATCCAGTCTTTGATGCTGATGAACTATATGTATCAATTTTTTCCATCTTATTAGGACTTGAACTATCCCAAGGGACACAGAAAAGCAAGTTCCATGTGTTTCCTAACGGCACTTTGTCCATCCGGAGGGTCACTATTCAGGACCGTGGACAGTACCTGTGCTCTGCATCTAATCCTCTAGGCAAAGACCACCTTCATGTCATGTTGTCTGTGGTTTCCTATCCTGCCAGGATCCTGGAGAGACATGCCAAGGAGATCACAGTTCATTCTGGAAGTACTGTGGAATTAAAGTGCAGAGTGGAAGGTTTGCCAATGCCTACAGTTTCCTGGATACTTGCAAACCAAACAGTGGTCTCAGAAACATCCAAGGGAAACAGAAAGGTCTGGGTAACGTCTGACGGGACCTTGGTCATCCGCAATCTGAGTCTCTATGACCGTGGCTTTTACAAGTGTGTGGCCAGCAACCCAGCTGGCCAGGATTCACTGCTCATTAAGATACAAGTCATCACAGCTCCCCCAGTTATTCTAGAGCAGAAGAAGCAAGCCATCATTGGGGTTTCAGGTGAAAGTTTGAAACTGCCCTGCACTGCAAAAGGAACTCCGCAGCCCAGTGTTCACTGGGTCCTCTATGATGGGACTGAACTAGAACCGCTGCAGTTGACTCATCCCAAGTTTTTCTTGTATTCAAATGGAACTCTGTACATAAGAAACATTGCTCCTTCAGACAGGGGCACTTACGAATGCATTGCCACCAGTTCCTCAGGCTCAGAGAGAAGGGTAGTGATTCTTACAGTGGAAGAGCGAGAGACAGTCCCCAGGATAGAAATTGCCTCTCAGAAATGGACAGAGGTGAATTTGGGTGAGAAACTACTACTGAACTGCTCAGCTACTGGGGATCCAAAACCTAGAATAATCTGGAGGTTACCATCCAAGGCTATCATCGACCAGTGGCACAGGTAAGCCTTTCTGTTAGAATTATCCCTTTCATTTATTTAGCTTTACAGCTTCTAAAATGGGAAACAGCAAGGCTAGCAGTAGCTTCAAAGGCCATGCATGATGCACAGGAAGGTGACTGTCTATAGAAAGGAACTCCATTTGACCTCAATGACTACAAAATCAGTCTTACATGCTTAACTCTGGGGTCCATATTCTTGGACAGTTGAGAACTATGGGAGGATCTTATTAGCCTCCATACTGGTGGCAGGCAATTTTTTTTCCTTTTTTCTTTTCTTGTGGGCTGCTTTAAAAATGGTAACTGTAGGGGCTGGAGAAATGGCTCAGAGGTTAAGAGCACTGACTGTTCTTCCAAAGGTCCTGAGTTCAATTCCCAGCAACCACATGGTGGCTCACAGCCATCTGTAATGAGATCTGGCGCCCTCTTATGGCCTGCAGTCATACATGCTGTATACATAATAAATAAATCTTTAAAAAAAATGGTAACTGTGTAAAGTTATTCATAATCTCCACATCAAAAAGAGAACTAGTGATAAGGTTGAGGCTCTAGGAACAAGATGTTCTGTATTTTACTCAGGACCTTCTCCTTCTCTTATCAGATGCTTCACACTTTAGTTATGTCATAATCCTTTCTTTCTTAAGATTGCAGTGCACCTTATGAAAGGCACATTAAGATCTTCTCAGAGTGAAATATACTAAAATTTCCATGAACTTGATGCTATCAGATACAGTTTTCTACTATCCTCTTTATAAATATTTGCTTTGAAAAGCATAATTTATAGCTTATGAATTATAAATTTTTGTTATGACTTTGTGTAACGATTTTCCATAATCCAGGAAAATATGTAGATGAACACTTTTTACTTACATTTATTCATTTATTAAAGTATTCGTGCAATAAAAATTAAATATAGTATATATGAATTTATGTGGATATTGGAAATGAAGGGTTTTTTTCTAGTGTTACGGTGAGTTGATACAGAATAAAATGAATAGATTTGTAATTCTTTTTTTTTTTTCGAGACAGGGTTTCTCTGTGTAGCCTTGCGCCTTTCCTGGATCTTGCTCTGTAGACCAGGCTGGCCTCGAACTCACAAAGATCCACCTGCCTCTGCCTCCCAAGTGCTGGGATTAAAGGCGTGCGCTACTACCGCCCTGAATAGATTTGTAATTCTTAATCCAAATGTCAATATTAATTTTCAGGTTTTTCAGGTATCAAAATTACCTTAAATGTTAAATTGTAATTCACTAAGATGTAAAGTTATAAGATGCTGAGCTGGAGAGTGTGAACATTAGAACCCACACGCTTACATATATTTTCTCCCCTGTATGTGTCCCCATTCAATATCTTCAATGTTCACTTATCAGCTTTGCATTTAATTTCACAATACCAGCTCTCTCGTTTCCCCCTCAGAATTGCTGCAGCCGCTCTGAGCCTTTGTGGTTCTTTATAAATTATAAGATTATTTACTTCTTAGAAGAAAGTGATTTGATTTTTGATGGGATTTTTCATTGAACTCATAGATTAACCTTTTGGCCTGGTAACATGGGATGCCTTTTCATTTTTTGTATCCTCTAGAATTTGTTTCATAATTCTCAATGTAGCAATCTTTTACCTTCTACTTTTTCCTAAGTAGTTTGGAGTGTTTTTTTTTTTTTTTGGATCCCTGGGTTTTTGTTTGTTTGTTTAAGCAATTCATCATAGGCATGTAAAGATGCTAGGTTTTGTATGTTAATTTTTTATCTTGAAACTTTACTGACTGTAAGTTATCAAAGCTTTCTAATGGAGTATTTTTACTTTCCTATGTAAAATAATGGCACCTGAAAACAAGGCTACTTAAACTTCTTCCTTTCTGATTTGGATGCCTCAGTTCTTTCTCCATCCTAATTCCTTTCACCAAGACTTTCTTGCTGTATTAAGTAAGAGTAGCAGGAACAGAGGGAGTCTTGTTCCAATCTAAAGAACACTTTAGCCTTTTCTAATTCAGTGTGGTATTGATGGTAGATTTTTCATATATAGGCTTTAATAATTTGTGATATATTCCTTCAGTATCTAATTTATTCTTATCATAAAAGGACATTAAACCTTACCAAATGCTTTTTCTGCATTTTTTAAAGATAATCATATGGTTTTGTATTGATTCAAGTGTTATATTGTTTATTGATGTGCAAATGTGAAATCATCCCTGCATCTCTGAGGTTAATCCTAATTGATCATGGTCTATGTACACTTTGAAATGCTCAATTCAGTTTACTTGTATTTTCTTGAGAAAATTTACAATTATGTTCATTGGGGATATGGGTCTAAACTTTTTTATTGTTGTGCTTTTGGTTTAGAATGAGGATATGCTGCCCCTTTAAAAATATGTTGATAGAGTTCCTGGCATTTCTAATTTATACTTTAAGAAGAAATGCAAGTAACACATGTTCATAGAAATCATCAGTACAGCTGTCAGGTACTAGGATGTTTTTATAAAGATGGAAGATTTTTCATTACTGCTTCAGTATCATTACACTGTATATATTTTCTTGATCAATTTTAGTAGGCTATATACTTCCTGAAACTTGTCCAGTACTTCTTGGATTCATGTGATTTTGCCATATTATTCATAGTTGCTTTTAAAATATCTTTTGTAATTTTGTAGCATTAGGGTTCTCTAGAGGAACAGAACCAGTAGAATATATATATTCTGAATGGGGATGCAATTGGCCTCCATGACAAGGTCTGAGTAGCCCAACAAATGGGTGTTTTCACATTGATAAGGCTAAGAACCAGTTGCTCCACAGTTCCTGGAGCTGTGTGTTCTCAGCAGGCCCAGGTTGGAACTGAAGGCCTAGTCTTCAGTTCACTTTGATAGACCAAAGCAGCTGACTGCTGATGTCAGCAAAAAGTGGCACTGGCAGCATAGTAGATGAGCTCACCAGCAAGAAACAAGAGCAAGCAAGGCAAATGGCTTCAGCAACTTTTGCTCTGGACCTCTTGTCTCTACTGCTGCTGAAAGATGCTGTCTACATTTAGGGTGGGTCTTCCCACCTCAATTAATCAAGAAAAAACCTCCTCCAATCATGCCCAGAGCCTAACCTAATCTAGACAACCTAGAAAACAGTTTATAGGTGTGCTTAGAGACTTGTGTCTTGGGTGATGCTGGACCCTATAGAGTTGACAACATTAACTATTGTTATCAGTTATGTTTCCTTTTGGATTTATGTGGCTGTCTTTTTTTTTTTAATTAATCTAGGTAAAGATTTAGAGATACTATTCCCCCTTTTTAAAGCACAAATTTCGTTGCCTTTTGCAATTTTTGTGTTTACTTTTTATTTTGGTATTTTTTTTCTTTAATTTTGGTTGGGTTTGTCTTTGTTTTTCTAAGTCCTTGAGGTTCCTATTGTTTGAAACCTTTTTTTTAAATTACATATTTTGGTATAAATGTTTCTCAAGACTGATTTTGCTGTACCACATAGATTTTGATATATTGTTGTAATTTTAATGTTCTTAAAAATTCCTTCTCCTTTTTCAGTTAGCTTAGCTCATTTAGGAGGAGTATGTTATTTCATTTCCATATATCTATATACTTTTTCATTCTCATTAAATTTATTGCCCTAGAAGATAAACAATGATTTCAACTTTTAAAAATTTATTGGTACTTGACATATGGGCTGTCCTAGAGAAAATTCCACATGTTGATGAGGTGATTGTGTATTATACTGGTTGGAGGAAGTCTCCTAAAAATGTGTTAGGTCAGTTTTCTCTACAGTGGTCAAACTCAGATGTTTCTTAGTTTTTCTGTCTAGATTTTTTTTTATCTATTGAGAAAGTTAGGTATTGATATTTATACTGCACTGGACTTAATTCTTCACATCTATTATTTGCTTTGTATATCCAGTTGGTACCATCTCCAGTACAAATATTTACAACTGCTCTACCATCGTCTTAGTTTCTCTTTGTTGCTGTGACAAACACTATGACCAAAGCCATCTAGGAGAGGACACCGTTTATTACAGCTTCCAGGTTATAGTCTAAAGTTGAAAGAAGTCAGGGTTGGAACTCAAGACAGGAACTTGAAGCAGGGACATGGAGGAATGCTGCTTGTTGGCTCACTCACTGGCTCATGTTCAGCTAGATTTCTTATACAGCCCAAGAACAGCTACTTATGGATGGTGCCAATCAGGGAGAGCTGGGACCTCCCTTATCAATCAACACAGTCTCCTTCAGACATACTCAAAAGCCAATGTGGTGTGTAAATTCCATCAGTTCAGACTCTCAGATAATTTTAGGCTTTGTCAAGCTAACAGAGAAGCAAAGACAATCTTGTCAAGTTGATGCTTGTCTCTTCACTTGTATTTCACTTCAAGGCTCTTTTGAAAAGTTCCCAGCCCTCTCCTGAGCAGATAAGCTTGTTCTTATGTCACTGTTCTTCCAGTGTTAGTTAATGGAAGATATTACATCCTGTAACATCATTAGATCAGATTTGAGGCACCACTTTAAATCAGTTGTTTTTTAAAGGCTCTCTCTTTACCTGCAGCATTAACATTAACCAAGAACGTGACTCAGAAGCAGTGATTATTTTGACAAGGATTCTGTGTTTTTAGAAGTCCCTAAGGTAATTGTAATGCACACTAAAATTTGAGTCTTGGTCTCAAATTTAATTATTCATAAGTAACCTGTGATATTTGTCAAGTACTACAGTCAAAGCTTCCACATGTATTGAATCTGAATCTCTAGAAAGAGAAGCCAAGAAAGATGCAATAAATTTGGCCCCTTACAATGCTAACACAGTTTATGGGAGATCCAACATATATGGCAGTAGTCCTTAGATTCTGCTACACGTGACAATCATGTAAAAAGCCTGATGCCTAGGCCAACTCCACATCACTTCAGTCAGACATTCTAGTCTTGGAGCATAGGCTCCAAGTATTTCAGACTATACATGTTGAAGTTTTAATAATGCAGCCAAATTTAAGGAAAAATGGTTTTAGAATGCATTAGGAGAGATTAATAACAGATGCTAGTGTGGCACCAGACAAAAGACAGGCTTCCCTGTGACTTCAATCAAGTTCATCTGGAGATTTCCTCTGTAGAGTGAGGGAAATACTTGGAGATAAAACAAAGTCTATACAAAGTTATCTAGTAATTTCCTTTATTTGTGTACACATTATCATGATTTCACCTTGGCGTCTTTTCAGAGAAATTCCTTCCTCAGTTGAGAAAAACAAAAAGCACACTGTTCTTACATTATTCTATACATAGTACTCTCCAGGTCTGAAACTGACTTGAGCTGCAGAGTTGGTAACAGTTATGCTTCAAGGAGTCCTGGGCTAGCCAGATGGCTTGGCAGGTGAAGGTGTTTGCTGCTGTCCTAATCTGTCTGCTCTTAATCACTGGAACATCTCTCCAGCCCCCACTAGCTGCTTTGAGGATGTGTTCATTTAGAAGTTTTGGGATCAATTAGATGGCTCAGTAGGTAAAGACACTCACTGCCAGGCTTGATGAGCCCGGGATGTACACACACACACACACACACACACACACACACACACACACACACACACACACAATGGATAACAATGTGGACTGAAAAATTTAAAGTGTAAAGTTCTCACTTCGTAGTTTCATTTGTGTGTTTACCGCATGCTGTCAAAAAAGAAAAAAGGGGGTGACCTTGATTCTATTCTTAGCACTAAAAGCTAGGCTCACTTTTATCAGGAAAGATCTTCCATCTGGTGGTCAAATGTGGCAATTACAGGCAATGCACTGGCAGTCCAGTGTTGGAGCCAATCTGGAAACCAGTCCTTTAATAGCTGCCCAGACAGCAGCAGGCGCTTCAGCTTCTAATGAATTGTAGACTGGTGACCTCTGCAGCAGGCAGAGGAGAAATTGGTCTCTAGTTAAATAACCTAATTACTGCCTCATTAATACATTGTAAAAGTATCATCAGGCAATAATTTAACACATACATATGAGTTGTTTTTCCTCATTAGTAGAAAAATTTTAATTTTTGTGGATCCATTTGTTTGATACACAAAATGTCTAAGAATTTGCTACTTCCAGCATTCTTCTTACCATGAGCTGTTTTTAAAAATTATATAAAAGAGGTTCACTTGAAGTCTATTTGGGAAATAGCCACTGGTCTTAGGTAAATCATACCGTGTTACAGCGTTTTTTTCAAGCAAATGGCCTAGATAACAGTAAGTGATTTAGATCTTCATTGTAACAGTCTAAGAAATCATCCATAAAGCTAATGCCATGTAACACACACACACACACACACACACACACACACACACACACAAAGGGGGGTCGACAGGATGTGGTAGAAATGGTGATAAACTTGATTGTGACAATTATTTTCATTTTATGTATATGTCACAATTTCATAAAAAATAACTTACGTGCATAAATACAGCAGTCATCTCCTGGTAAGGCTGGAGGGAGATAAAAATCATACAAATAAGGCCATTTCTACATAGTATTCTATAAATATGTATAAATTGGTATCAGATTTTAGTCTTTGCATCTGTTTATGTAAGGTGTGCCCATGTTCTTGTTGGTGTGTGTGTGTCTGGTGCAGAGGTAACTAAACAGCAGGTGTCTTCTGCAATCACTTTCTATGGACCCTGAACCTAGAGCTCATTTATTCAGCTACACTGGCTGTCTAGCATGCTCCAGGGATCCATCGTCTCCATACTCCTAGTGCTGGTGTTACAGATGCACACTGCTATATCTACCTTTTAAGTAGCCACTGGAGATCCCATTCCAGGTCTTACCATTGTGCAACAGGCAGATTACTAACTGAGTCATCTCCCCAGCTCCATGTCTAGTCTTTGAAAACGGTGACATTGCCCACCGCAAGCAGCTGCACTTTCACATCTGTCCCTTTCCTTCTTAGAATGGGCAGCCGCATCCATGTTTATCCGAATGGATCCTTAGTTATTGGACCAGTGACAGAAAAAGATGGTGGTGACTACTTGTGTGTGGCAAGGAACAAAATGGGAGACGATCTGATCCTGATGCATGTCCGTCTAAGATTGACACCTGCCAAAATTGAACAGAAGCAGCACTTTAAGAAGCAAGTGCTCCATGGGAAAGATTTCCAAGTTGACTGCAAGGCTTCTGGCTCCCCTGTGCCTGAGGTATCCTGGAGTTTGCCTGATGGAACAATGATCAACAACGCCATGCAAGCTGATGACAGTGGCCACAGGACCAAGAGGTACACCCTCTTCCACAACGGGACCTTGTATTTCAACAAAGTTGGAATCGCAGAGGAAGGAGATTATATTTGCTATGCCCAGAATACCTTAGGGAAGGATGAAATGAAAGTCCACCTAACCGTTGTAACATCCATCCCACGGATAAAGCAAGGCGACGAGACCAACATGAGGATCAGGGCTGGAGACACAGCTGTCCTTGACTGTGAGGTCATTGGGGAACCCACACCAAGTGTATTTTGGTTGCTGCCTTCCAATGATGTCATTTCATTCTCCAATGACAGGTACATATTTCATGCCAATGGAACTTTGTCCATTAATAAAGTGAAAGTGCTGGACTCTGGGGAGTATGTGTGTGTAGCTCGGAACCCTAGTGGGGATGACACTAAAATGTACAAACTAGACATTGTCTCTAAACTTCCACTAATCAATGGTCTGTACACAAACAGAACTGTTATTAAAGCCACAGCTGTTCCGCACTCCAAAAAACTCTTTGACTGCAGAGCAGATGGGATCCCAGCTCCCCAGATCAGGTGGATTATGCCAGATAATATTTTCCTCACAGCTCCATACTATGGAGGCAGAATCACAGTCCATAAGAATGGAACCTTGGAGATTAGGAATATCAGGCTTTCTGATTCAGCGGATTTTATCTGTGTGGCTCGGAATGAAGGGGGAGAGAGTATGCTGGTGGTACAGTTACAAGTACTGGAAATGCTGAGAAGACCAACATTCAGAAATCCATTTAATGAAAAAGTAATTGCTCAGGTTGGCAAGTCCATAGCACTGAACTGCTCTGTTGATGGGAACCCACCACCTGAAATCATCTGGATTTTACCTGATGGCACACGGCTTTCTAATAGACCACAACATTCTTCCTATCTGATAGCAAGCAATGGTTCTCTCATCATTTATAAAACAACTCGGAACAAGTCAGGAAAGTATCGCTGTGCAGCTAGAAATAAAGTTGGCTATATCGAGAAACTCATCCTATTAGAAATTGGACAGAGGCCAGTTATTCTGACATATGCACTAGGAATGGTAAAAAGTGTCAGTGGAGAATCTCTATCACTGCACTGTCTGTCTGATGGAATCCCTAAGCCAAATGTCAAATGGACTACACCAAGTGGTCATGTCATAGACAGACCCCACGTTAATGGAAAGTACATACTGCATGAAAATGGCACATTGGTCATCAAAGAAACAACAGCTTATGACAGGGGAAATTATATCTGTAGGGCTCAAAACAGTGTTGGCCACGCAGTGGTAACTGTTCCAGTGATGATTGTGGCCTACCCTCCCCGAATTATAAATTACCCACCCAGGAGCGTACTCAGGAGGACGGGAGAAGCAGTGCAGCTCCACTGTATGGCCCTGGGAGTCCCCAAGCCACAGATTATCTGGGAGAGGCCAGGACACTCCCTGCTCCCAAAGGCAAGAGAAAGGAAAACCCATGGAAGTAAGCCGCTTCCCCCACAAGGCACGCTGGTCATTCAGGATCTCCAAACCTCAGATTCTGGAGTCTACAAATGCACAGCCCTGAACCTACTTGGCACTGATTATGCAACAACTTACATTCAAGTCATCTGACAGGAAGTAAAACCAATACTGAACAGAGTCAACATCTGAAGGGTTTATTGTTTTTGTTTTTTTGTGTTTTTTTTTTTTTGGAAGAAGTTTAATCAAAGGCAGCCATAGGCATGGAAATGAATTTGGATACATTTACAGTATTAAATTTACAATGGACATGCAAAAGAGACTTGTAAATAAATGCATTATGAAATGATGCCAAGTGTCTATGGATTTCAACGCGAACTCTTAACTTAAGGCACTTTGATTTTGCCAACAAATAACAGACATTAAGAGAAAACGATCCACTACAAAATAACAAACAGCTGATGCACCTGAATTTTCAGTAAAGAGACCTTTCTCTCACTATCAGTTGCCTAGTGTCCAACTTCTACCAATGTTACAAACTTTGCACTCAGAATGGAGACAATGGGAAAGATTAAATTTGCATTCTATGTAAATCATCACATACAAATATTTTGTAACTGGTTTATAAACAGTTTGATAAAACCTACAGAAAACAAGCACTGAACTGTTTTGCTTATGATTCAGTTTACCATTTGTTCACACTGAAAATTCTCATTACCCACATTAAAAAACAAATAAACAAAACAAAAGCTTTCTACATGTAAAGAGTTGCCTAATGCTCACACATCAGGAAATGTGAAAAGGGAGTTTCATATTTGTCCATACCTCTGTCACTCTGAAAAAGGCTTTACAAGTACAACGAAACTTCTTTGTAACTTTAAAACCTAGCTAAGGCACCCATTGTTTGGAGCCATTTGTAAGAAAGATTTTCTAAGGAGGAATTGCTCTTTTACAAGAGTCTAGATCTCTTATATATAATGAAGTTTCACTGTATTTAAAATTTGAATGTTGTTTCTTTTATATAATTAACTGTACTTATATTACATGTTTAATTCAACCCAAAGATAAATGGGGGTATCATAGATTTACCTCTTTTATTCTAAAGTCTGAGATTTTTCCAGTATAATTTCTCTGGCTTCTGTCCAAATATTCATCTATTTATGAATTGTAGGAGCCTTGTAAATGATAAACAAAAGCCACAGGTCTTATTCAGTTAGCTTAGAACACTGAAACCAAGGCCTTTGTTAGTTTGTGCCAATCATTTGAGAATTAACTCCACTGTGTCTCCATCATGCCTACTTTCTTTTGGCCCCTACCTCTGTCGTGATTGCTGTTAACATAGGTACTCTATGGCTTCCAGAGGTCAAATGATACCCACCTTCTAATTTTGGATGAGGAAAGGTAAATAAAACAAGCAATGCAACCCTAAAAATAATCAGCCTATAATAGAACACATATATAACCAGGAATTATGGTAAGTATACCCAATTCCATTATATTGCAAGGTCTGATCTTTAATAAGAGCTGGGCTTTCCATCTTAAGACAAATTCCTATCTGCAACCCACCAAGAAAATGACAAAGTTTTGCAACAGGGTTTTCCCTTATGACCATTTTGATACCAACCACATGCATTTGCTATGGGGGAAAAGCCCTCTCAGAGCACAGAATTAAGTAGCAGTAAATATGACAACTAAATTTAAATTTCCAGTTGCTTTCCTTATAATTAATGCACAGGGAAAACAGCTCTAGGTTTTTCCTCATCTCCCAAAACATCTCATAACTAGAGGGCCTCAGCATGACTTATCTTCCTCATCTCAAGAAACAAAATAAATAGCAACAAAGGTATAAGCATTGCCTTCAAGTGCAAACGGATTAATAAATTAACTTCTGCAAAGTATAAAGTGCATACAAATGCTATGCAATTATTACACTCCTGCTGCTGTTTTCAATATTGAGCTACAAACTGAAACTGGCATTTTAACTATCAATAATCATTGATTAGAGAACAGAAAGGACAGGGTATGACTCACTCACTAGGCACAACATTCACACTTCGGTGGTTTTGCCAATGCAGTCATGTGGTCGATTACTTTGAAGAAAAATAGCTTGTGAGCTGTAAGAATGACTCTGGAGAGGAAAGCAAAGCTGACCTGTGAGACCACTGAAATGTACTGCATTGTCTGAAAGCAGATAAATGGTCACTGAGTGGAAAGAATGGTCTTTAATGTTTGGCAAAGTCTTTTCCAGCCCAGAGTAAACACAAAACAAGCGGGCTGGAGGGGTATATTTCACAGTGTACAAAGCAGTTCACATGGATGTTGCCATGGCAAAGTAAGCAAACATGTATTTGAGGTCATTTGAATGAGTCAAACTTTGCAATGAGTAACTCACCTAGGAAGATATAAACTATCTATATAATGATCTGTAAAAGAAATTATCTAAAGTTGTACTAGCTACATTTTTAAAAAGTAGTTCTACATGGTTTGCTCTTCATAGACAATCTATTCACAGTATGCTTGACTACATGACATGTGAAATCATATGGCAAAAAGAAAATGAACCCAACAAAAAACATGGGAAGATCCCTACGTATGTCTTAAAATGCCCTGCAATTTTCACATTCAAAATTTTATGCATCTAATTCTAAAAAAATATTATATGGAATACTCTTAAGTTACACAAACTGATAATAATTTACTGTATTTTTTCACTCTAATAGGAGCAAATTACCACATACTTGAACAAAGTTAAAATAGTTACTATTTCTTTATAATAAATTTGATGTATAATTTACTTTACTTGTGCTTTTTGCACCAGTTTATAAATACAGTATAAGCAATACACAACAAGACAGACACCAACATTAATAATTAAATTCAAAATAGCAAATACTTACCATACAAAATTAACAGTAAGTACACCTTTGATGAATACCAGAGCTTTCTGGACTGGGGAGCCAGAGCCTCTGGAAACCAAGTCAAGTCTAAACACAGTAGAATCCAAGGCCAGCTGTGAGACTTGTTTTTGTTTTTGTTTTTTTTCTCAAGTTGGCATGAGGTTCTGAAGAACCAAAACTGGACAGTTATTTTTACCAAAACGGCAGTAAATAATAAATGAACCGATTCCACCGTGGCTCTTCCGGCCTCCAGCAGTTCTATGTTGTACTTCCATGAAGAATCTGGTGAAAGATCGTGCCACTGGAAACCAAGGGGAGTGCAGCCACTTCTAAGAGGCTCCCGCACATCTCAGGGTGGCTTGCACAGAAGCCCCGAAGAAGCAGAAGTACTAAGCAACAATCTGTTTCAGCACCTTTGGACCACAACAAAAGCAAAGCAAAGTCCTTCATAAATGTGAACAAAGTTTATAAAGTGCTTATGAAATGATCAACATTTCAAATTAGAATGATGCAAATAAATGAAAAGCGAGTGTATCATACTCCTGTGAGAACTGCCATATCTTTCAAATCAGTAGTTTGGTCCACCACAGGTTAAAAAAAAATCATTAATTAATACATAAATATTCAAACCTACCGTAATTCATTCTTTATGTAAGTATGAGATAAAAAAGCACCAGTTTCAAAAGGTCTGCCACCACACTATCTGGAGTAGGCCTGCATGATCCACATTTTAAAACCTATTTTGAATATGATAAAACCAAACCACAACTTCTTTACTTATTTAAATACCTCTGCATGAAATGGAGCACAAAATATAGGAAAACATAAATAACTCAAAGACCAAAGAAGACTTCTTATGATTACTAATAAATCTGATTTTGTTTTTCAGTGCAAACATAAACATCACGTCTTCTCTTTCAGATTCAAAAGTGTGAAGGATGTGCACAGGGAGTCACTCCTTGCTGTGGCTGGTTACCTAGGAGAAAAGCAGAGTTAATAGTTGGTGCAAATTTGTGGGGCAGATAATGTTTCCTCATTGGTACTCCTCTCAATGACAGTCTCCAGTATAGGGGAACAGACCAGCTGGCTAGACCCTGGGCCAATAATCACATAGGGAGACCAAATGTATTCTGTAGAGGGGTCAGAGTCTCACACCTGCCAACACAATGCCTTGGGATTAGAGGCACTGACTGACTAATCTGAAGTGTTCAAGAGCTGTGTTCCAGCCTATGGTAGACAGCAGAGCAAACAGACATGCTCTTCAGATCAGTGTGCCACACACAACTCCTCAGTACTGACTTATAAACACTGTAACGTCAATCTCTGCCTTCAGATTGTATTCTTGGCAAGAATTTTACCTTGAAAATCTCACTATATTTCATTGTTTTAATCACAAATTATTTAATGAAGCATGCCTACTAAGCAACAGTTGGGGAAAAAAACTGATTTTACATGATATAACCAAAATTAAGCAAGGATATAAGAAAAAAAAGACATATATTTCAACTTTGGAAATGAAAAAAATCTCATGTATGTATTCACTGAACATAGTGATGTGTTACATAAAGACACAAACAAGTATACATTGTATGCTGAAGACCAAAAAAAAAGAAAGAAAAAAAAAGAAAGAAAAAGAAAGAAAAATCAAGATATTAAGTATGACTGATAGGGACCCAAGGAGTAGGGGTTGGGGGAATTCTCTCTGTCGGGAAACCAACATGCAGAACAGACAGGCAGAAAGCTGATATATACTACCCGTCAGCCACAAATGGGTACGACACCACTGTCAGCATGCAGTGGACTTCACTTTACAACTCAGAAACAGTGAATCTGAAGCCGGGGGTTAAGTGTTTGTCTTCTTCCTCTGCACAGATGGGAAAACGTGACCCCGTCAATAATGGCCTTGTTGGCAAAGACCTCAGGTCTGCTAACTCCAGGCCAGACTCCAAGGCACTGTATTTCACAGCACAGAGTGCTCGCTCCCATTTCTAAAAGGACTCTGTCCTGGGATTCCAGCAGAGAGGTGATCCCACTCACGAGCACGGGCTGAATTTCCCCTTTCACAGCGGTGCTAGTGTCGTGAAACTGGCACCTGGGCATGGAGTTGTAGTCAAGCAGCAGAACATGTGTCTGGCATGCAGGAAGCCCGGGGTTCTGTACTCAGCACCATAAAACAAAACCAAGAGGGAAAAATGGGAGTCTAGCTGTGCTTTGAGAAGTTCACATAGAAGCAATAGGAAAATACTGAATTAATGGAAAAATTGTGGCTTTTCCAGGCAAGGAAACAGGTTAAGTGCAAAGCCAATCAAACTAAAATAAAATAAAACACCTTAGACTGCCGGGCGGCGGTGGCGCACGCCTTTAATCCCAGCACTCGGGAGGCAGAGCCAGGCGGATCTCTGTGAGTTCGAGGCCAGCCTGGGCTACCAAGTGAGTTCCAGGAAAGGCGCAAAGCTACACAGAGAAACCCTGTCTCGAAAAACCAAAAAAAAAAAAAAAAAAAAAAAAAAAAACACCTTAGACTAAGGTAAACATGAAAAAAAAAACTATGTACATATGTATGTATATATGTATGTATGTATATATGTATGTGTATATGTATGTATATATGTATGTATGTATATATGTATGTATGTATGTATGTATGTATGTATGTAACAAAAAGCAGTCAAATAAAGAGGCTATCAACTTGATAGTGCAGGTATGGGAGGGGTTTAACAGAAGGAGCTGAGAGATGCTAAACAGAAGGGAAGAGGGGATTCAATATTAAATTATATTTCAATTAAAACATGATTAAAATGGTACTGAAATCGGGAGTCAGATAGCAGGGTAAGAATGATCAGAGAAGCAGAAGAAGTCCCAGTGACCTCTTCTCTCTTCCTTTCCTCATTTCAAAAGGGCTGTGATCTCTCTCTGCCTCGCCTTACTACTTCCTGTCTCCTATTTGTCCTGCCCTCCAAAACCTCTATGGTTAACTGGTCAGCTAGTGGCTAGCTCTGCCCGCTAACTCCAAGCAAACTTTATTGTCAGAATGTGATCAACATATCACACACCAAGGTGCAGAGAACCCAGTGTCGTTTCTGAGGAGTTACCACCGCGTCGGGCTTGTTGCTGCTGGTTTCCAGGTCTCCCCCGCTCCATGTGAGACAGGTACTTACTAGAAAGCTGCTTCTGGAGCTGTCGCACCAGGGCGGCTGTCTGCTGTTGCTGCTGGGTCTGCTGCAAGCCTTGCCTGGGGAACTGCAATGGCAACAAGTGGAACGGTGAATCAGCCACCAGGCTACACAAGGCAGAGGCCGCACCTTGGGGTGTCTAATGAACTTTCCCACACTTAAAGAGAAAAGGCTCATGCCCAGTGTGGATAAACTTGATCCTGTCTACTGTACATCTCAATACGTGGCTGGTAAACAGTGCCGTTCTCGCAGGCATTTATTTTTCGAGTCTCTAGGTCCACACTACAGAGGTAGCCTACTCACTTAAAGACCATTGTCATCTCACTCTTCACCAGCTGGAGGCACATCCTAACAGCCCGGGTCCCTCTCGTTGAAAGCTCTCTGGGGTGGAGATCCATCCAATGCCAACAGACCCACCCCATGGACAGACAAGAACCTGTGAGGCAGAGCATGCCCTTGCTAGTGGGACCTCATCTGGGCCATGACTTCCACCTGCCAGCCAGGACAGGGTAGGCAAAGCTGGACACCAAGAGCTCAGGCTTTAAGGAGTTTTCTCCTGGTGCTGTGTGAGGGAGACCAGAAGTACAACATGAGGAATGAGGAACTTACACTACAGTTCTTTCCATCAGACTCACACAAGAAACTGTGGCTAATGTTCAATGGTGGAGGGGGACTGATCAATATTTGGCAGAAGAAAAATGATTTTTGATTAGAATCACCAGCCATACTGTGTCATTTCTGAACTGCAGATGTCAGACCACAGCTCTTTCTTGTGTGTCCTTCTTTCTCCTTGGCTGCCTTCTTGCTGTCTGGAAACAATTGGGATGCTCTGAAACAAGTCTCCCTTAGTCATATGCAGAGTACTGGTCCCTTCCCATTTACCTCAGTCTGTGCTCTCTTTGCCCATCTACCTGTATGGAATGCACTCAGCAGGCTGGCACAGCACCCTAGAGAGCACCCCAGGAAATGGAAGGGAATGAGCAGGATCAGGCTAGGAAGGAGCACAGTAAAGCTTTGCTTTATTTTGCCAGCTTTTTCCACAGTAGCTCTCTTTGGCCAAGTGCATCCAAGGCAGGAAGGCCCAGGTTCTCCCATCAGCCAGGTAACCTGGCTCTCTCCATCTCCACTCTTCTGCCTCCATGAGGCTTAGAGGCCTGATATGCCTGTAAGACATTTGAGTTGCTTTTCCTTAATCTGCCTCACATCTCTGAGGAGTTTTTTTTTTTTTTTTTTTTTTTTTTTTTGGTTTTTTTGAGACAGGGTTTCTCTGTGTAGCTTTGCGCCTTTCCTGGGACTCACTTGGTAGCCCAGGCTGGCCTCGAACTCACAGAGATCCGCCTGCCTCTGCCTCCCGAGTGCTGGGATTAAAGGCGTGCGCCACCACGCCCGGCCTCTGAGGAGTTTTTAAAAAGACCATTCTCAATGTGAATGCAACATAATTCTGTCTTCCTTGAAGATCCTCAGTATGATTGAAAGCAGCCTAGGATTGTAAGCAGTGTAGGAAATAAAAATACAGAATGCATAGCTAACTGCAAATTGCAGATAAACAATGAATAATTTTTATTTCACTTATATTTAATATTTCATGTGACAAAAACTGCATTTAGTTCAAGTACCCCAACAGAATATTTGAGACAACACTTTTGCTAATTGCTTGCCTGAAATTCAAATATAACTGAAAGTCCTAATCTAGACAGTATTGCCAAGCTGACTCTTAAGTGTATATGACACCTAAAGCTGATAGGCCATTTCTAATTACCCCCCCACCCCCCACCTCCACATACAGTTCTGGGAAAACAGAATAAAATTCATCCTTTTATATGGAAAAGTCAGGAAGGTAAGTGCTTTCTTTTTAAGTCAACAGTTTCTATGCTTACCCAGAATCCTCTTCAACAATTCCTTCTCTGTGCCATGCACTCTACTAGGCATTATAAGCATATATTGCCACACTTAACCCTGATATAGGATCGACCACCCCAAATTTGTCCCAACTGTTTGCGACAGCTGTGTTTGAATTCAGCGTGTGTCAAAGGTTAACTCTCCCCATGTCATGAAGGGCTTTAGCCCTTCCCACACACTGCACTTAGGCAGTCAGGCATCCACATGGCTGCTTTATTTGGGAAACACGGAAAGAGCTGAATGTCTGTTTTAGTCAGCTTTTGCTGTTTACTCCTGCATTTTTGGAGGTATTTGAATTTGGGCAACAAATACAAAGGACTATGAACCTTTACTACTAATATTCTCATGATACAGATTAGAATTGTGTCATTTGGCTTCTGAATCCCAAGGGCATTCTCAAAACTATCTCAATTTCTCTGAACAGAACATATGAATTCCTTGAGGAAGACCAGTATAACACTTTTGCCTGTGGTCAAAATTACAGTAACTATGAACTATTGCTGCTGTTGTGTCTATTTTTGAAAAGCAAAATGCAATACAATGGGATCCTTACCTAAAGACCACTGTTGAGGTCACCTAATTAAGACAGTGTAAAATGAAAAGAAAATGCTTAGTAGCATAGTGTGAATATTTCCTTAAATGTTGGAAGCAGCTTTAAAGAAACGATGAACTACATCTGTTAAATGGAGTTAAAGGTAATTTAATCATAACCTATGAACCTTAAAAAGACTGTAAGTCAGCAACTAAAACTAGGACACACGTTGAGCCACCACACGCATTTCCCCAGAGCGGACAGAGTCCACTGTTAGCTGTCCTTCCTTTACAGAAGGCAAACGACACAAGCATGGCCACTAAGTTGTCACCATACTTAACTGATGGCCATGGGGTTTTCTTAACTTTTCATGCTCATTTCACAGAAAAGTTTCCTGATGACATCTTAAAGAGGTGACAATTTCTGTCCTAAGGCAATTTTGACCTTAAAAACATTTTATCACAGTATCAACTTGGCCAAGGGTGTTGGTTGTCACTGTCTACCATAACCTGACTAATGCTACTAACTAAAGGGGACCAAGAAAGGTAACAGTAAAAGGTAAGAGATCAATACTGCCTTTCAAGGTCACTTGCATGCAAGCTTTCCACCATGGGCTCCCCGCATTTCTCTATATTTTGATCTCTGTTAGGGCTTCAACTATACCATTCAAAATAAAAAAGCTACAGTCCTAAACCCCAGGACCTTAGATTGTGACCTCACTTGGACAGACAGCCTTTCCAGAAGCAACCAAGTCAAAATGCACTTATTATAATGGAATCTAATACAACATGAATGGTATCGTCATCAAAAGGGAAACGTGGGCACACTGGTGCAAACCGCGAGAATGCCATGTGAAGCTGGAACAGAGCCTGGATGCTAAAGACAGCTAGTGCACTGTGGGAAGCTGGAGCAGAGGTATGGCACGGGCTCACCCATCAACACGCAGCAGGAACCAACACTGCTGACTCAGCATCTTTCACTTCCAGTTCCCAGAACAGGGAACTTTGTATGACAGTCCTAGCAAACCAATACAACCTCTGAAGCTCTTCAACTAAAAAGACAACACCACCATATGCTACTTGCCATGTACAACACGGTCCTTCAGCCATTTCCTGTGATTCTCTGTCCCCTGATGGCAAAGAGTACAGTGGAGAGACTTCCATGGCATGCTCCCTAACACCTGACAGGGTGCTGGCCTCTACTGAATATACCAAATAAGCACTTACTGAACTCCATTGTAACCATTGGCAGACAGCGAGTGGCAGGGCAAGTGACCAGGAGGGTGGTAACTGCTACTTACTCGTCCCTTCATGCAGCATTAATCAGAACCCCAGAGGAGTCCAAGCTCACCTCTCCTCAGCAGCCAGCTCATCACCCTCTTCTCCAAAGACAGGAACTGAATGGGGGAGCAGGCCCGAACCAAGAGTTAGATCTGCTAGAGATGTTTATTATGAATAGAATCCAAGGTGTTTAAAAAATAGTGATTCTCAGTGAAAGCAATCAAAAAGGAAATGTGAATTTTTTTTTCTTAAGTTTGCGGAGGCCTTTGTTATTGATATACACAAGTAGTTAAAAAGTAGTTAAAAATATTTTTAACTTGTTTTCTATTATGAGACAACCAAAAAGAGGTATAGAATGCATACCAAAATACCTTTAACAGTATTAATTTTGAAACTAGCAACAGTCCAAATTTTTAACAGCAGAGGAATGGTTCAGGAACTATAAAAACACGACTACATCATCACCACCATCTTTTAAAAGTATATGTATACCCATACTTTTAACTCCAGTATTGAGGAGGCAGAGGCAGGCATCTCTGTTAGTTAGAGGCCAGCCTGAGCTAATAGTGAAATCCAGGAGAGCCAGAACTACATAGTGGGACACGGTCTCAAAAAAAGGGGGTGGGGTAATGAGAAGGCTGAGCTGTTAAAGGCTAGGCTCAGGCTCAGAACTAATAAATAAATAAATATCATAGGTGCCCAAGAGTACTATATAACGGATACCTAAGAAAGAATTATGAAGATATAAACATCTAACAGTATAGACCATGTCTATAATTTCTAATGCTGAAATTGAACACTTAGATCTGAACATTTTAAGTTTCCTAGCCCTTCTTAACACACACACACACACACACACACACACACACACACACACACACACACACACACACACCATTTGGTCCCTGTGCTATAACTCCTGCTTGAATTATTTAGGAGAGACTGCTCTCTATGGAAACAATACTGTGTTTTAATGAGAAATTAAAGCATTCTGCCAAATAGGAAAAAAAAAATGTAAACCACCCACTACATACATATCTCCATTAAATTTATTATTAATACTTTTATTTCTCTTAAATTACTTTCTCATGAGCATAATGAGAAAAAAATGTCATCTTCCATGTTCTGAATTACCTGCTCAGTTCTTGGGAAGGCAGTATGTTAAAGCCAGTGGATAAAACACAATCTATATCATTGAAAACCACCAGTACTGTCTTAGAAATTCTTATAAAATTTGCATGTTCTTTACACACTATAACTGAGGTAAATAGTTACAGAACTATGGTCGGAGTATAAACGTGTCAAGTTCCCTCTGATGGGCTATGCTTCCATGCTAGTGAGTCACTGGAGTATCTCACTGACGTCACATACCTCTGTTGCTGCTTTAAACGACATCTGGGAGGTTTAAAGAAATTTTCCTTCCAGACCTAGAAATACAGTTGAGTAACAGAATTATGCTTCTTTGTTTACCCTATACCAAACAACTACTACAGCTGAAGCATTTGGTACTGCCATCCACCAGGAATTATGCAGCACATGCTATGACCAGAGCTAGTGTTAGACCTTCAATAAGTCCTTTTATAGTTCTCAAATGTGTGGTTTGAATAAGAATGGTCTCCAAAGGCTCATATGTTTGAACTGTTTATGAAGAATTATGAGGAGTAGCCTTTTTTTGGAGGAGATATGTCACTGCGGGTGGGCTTTGAGATTTTAAAAGCTCATGCCAGACCCAGTCTTGTGTTTTCTTTCTGCCTCTGACCTGCAGATCAGACGTTAGCACTCAGCTACTGTTCTAGCCCCATGCCTGCCTGATGGCTGCAGGCCACCTCGCCATGACAGTCACAGACTGAGCCTCTGAAGCTGTGTGCAAGTCCCCAACAAAATGTTTTATGTTGCCTTCATCGTGGTGTCTCTTCTCACCAACAGAGAAGTAACCAAGACATCATATATCATATTATATATGAACTGAGGTAAGATTTAGTAACAGGTAAAAGAAAATCACTCACCCAACCCTCAACCTACCCCGCCCCCCCAATGCAAAGCCTACTGTAGAGGGCAGAGGTTAACACCCAACATTATTCTCTGTCACTTTCTCACCTATATATATATTTTTTTTTTTCGAGACAGGGTTTCTATGTGTAGCTTTGTGCCTTTCCTGGGACTCACTTGGTAGTCCAGGCTGGCCTCGAACTCACAGAGATCCGCCTGGCTCTGCCTCCCGAGTGCTGGGACTAAAGGCGTGCGCCACCACCGCCCGGCTCTCACCTATATTTTTTAACCTAGAGCTCACCAGTGGCTAGGCTGATGAGCCAGTGTGCTCTGGCAATCCTGCTGCCTCCACTTGCCCAGTGGTGGAGCTGCAGGCACACACTGCCATGCCTGGCCTCTCATGTGTGGGTGCTGGGAATCTGAAGTCAGATTCTCGTGCTTTTATGCCAAGGACTTTTCCAAATGAGCCATCTCCTCAGCTCCTAAAGCCATTTCTTTTTAAAGCAACAATGGCATATCTTAGGGTGGCAGCTATGTATCTGTTGACTGAATGTTTAAACTTATCTATAAGAAAAAAATATAGACTATAAATAACTCTAGGTAATTTAAATACAGAATTTTATTATTTGTGAGGAACATAGCATGCATATTTCATTTAATTACATATCTGAGTCAAAAGTTTAAAATATGAAGTAATTATCTGTAGTGAAAGTTTTCCTGTGTCCTACCCGGTCCGCAGCCGCTCAGACCCAAGTAAACACACAGGCTTATATTAATTAAAACTGCTTGGCCATTCGCTCAGGCTAACTACTGACTAGCTCTTACACTTAAACTCAGCCCATTTTTGTTAATCTATATGTTGCTACATGTTCCATGGCTTTACCTGTGTGCCATTACATGCTGCTCCATGGATGGTGGGCTGGCGTCTCCTGACTCAGCCTTCCTCTCCCCGAATTCTCTTTGTCTGCTTATCCCACCTATACTTCCTGCCTGGCTACTGGCCAATCAGCATTTTATTAAACCAGTATACAAAAGCATTATCCCATATCAATTATCATATATTCAATAATAATCGTAGTTCTAAATTTAAAGTTTGTGTTTTTGTTAAAATGGTACTGTACAAACACTTTCTCGTTAGCAATTGCTAGCTATACAAGTTACCATTCTCAAATTATTGGGTCCCTTACCTTTAATAGTAAAGGACTCATTTGCATCATAAATCACTAGAAGGGCATAACTATGTGATAGTTCCTTCCATTAGTATCACACATAACACTGCAGTAACATGAGCACCACAGCATGAGAACCTCTGTTTTATATTAGGATGAAAAAAGTTAGGGTTTTCCCAGTTACCATCAAATGTTCTAAATACTCAACACAACCTATCTGCAGAAACTTTGGTTTTCTGTCAAAACACCTTTAGAATGTCTTGTGTAGAGAAAGAAAACACTGAGACTACTCTTAAGTTTCCCTGTCTGACATAATAACCTATTCAACAGAAAGAACAGTTTTTATTGTTTTACAGTCTTGGGGATCAAACCCAGGGTCTTGCTCATGCTGGGCAAGTGCCCCTCCCACTGAGCTACATCTTTAGCCTTAGGTTTTTTAAATCAGCAAATTTCATCTAACTGATGCTATATAATAACAAATACTCAGTACAGGTGGATGAAGAACGTAAACAGTTCCTAAGAGTGGCAAATTTTTAAATCAAAGAGTCAAACGCTAGATTTCACTTTAAAGATATGCTTTCTGGGGATGGAGAGATGGTTCAGCATTAAGAGTCAGCACTGCTCTTCCATATGACCTGAGTTCAGCTCTTTACACCCAAGTCCCTTCAGGCAGCTGACAACTGCCTTTATCTGCAGTTCCAATGCCTTCTCTCGTCTCTGTGTGCACTATACTCACACAAATATACAGATAATTAAAATAAATACAATCTTCTTTAAAACCTTTCTTTGTATTTGAAACATGACTTAAAGAAAGACAAACAACCAAGGGAACGTTCTCCCTTGGAGTAGAACATCAGGCAATAAAAACAAAACAGCATTTGGATTGGAAGTAAGCATTTTTCTCCTTCTACAGCAGAAATGGAAAGAGATAGTTAGCCACTATCAACACTGGTGAGTGAGTGTCTACTGGGCAGTAGGACAGATCGGCTGAAACCATTCCCATACATTATACATTACTTAAAAAGGAGTGGGCCGGTGGTGGTGGCGCACGCCGGTAGGATTTGCTGAAGGAGGCGGAGGCAGGAGGATCACGAGTTCGAGGCCAGCCTGGGCTACACATTTTTTAAAAAAATTTAAAAAAGTAGAAAAAAAAAACAAAAGGAGTGGTTGGTAACTTTATGGTGGAAAACGATCAGACACCACCTCCACAGCGATTATAAATATTCTTGTGATGCACTGATGGGTCACTGCAGCATATATTCAATATGAAAACTGGGTGATGTCAAGATTAAGCAGTAAATTAGGCTGAGTAACATTTAAAAAATAAACAGCTACCCCATCATCACTAAGACAAAGTGTGGGGCACTTTGGAATTGTTGCAAACTCTATATGGGAAAAGCAGACATGGAAGCCGAATAGTGTATGCTGAAGCAGAGCCAGAAAAACGCAGGCAGTGAAGGATACCCAAGTACCACTGCTGTAATCTGCAAAAACCCATTTATCCATCATAATATCGCATCAGGGTTCAACTTCCTGACTTCGGAGATCACAGCCAGGGATTTTGATGTTTGTGCAGTGCTAAGGCTCTAACCCAGGGCCTCACTCATGATAGGCAAGCACTCTACTAACTGAACCACACACCCCCCCCATCTTGCTCTAGGGAAAAAAAAAACCCAAATTGAAATATTTAGCATTAGAGGTTCATTGCTGTAGCTTACTGATATGTGGAGATCAGGAAACACATAAACTGGAATTAAAGGAAGAGAGAGAATCGCAAAGCAAATGCGGCAACAGGGCACTGAGTGGGCACAGGTGAAGGACACGGGGAGATCCTCTGTACTCTTCCTGAAACTTTCTGTGGGTTTGACCTGTGTCAAAAACAAGTTAGAACTTACTTCTAAGCCGGGCGGTGGTGGCGCATGCCTTTAATCCCAGCACTCGGGAGGCAGAGCCAGGCAGATCTCTGTGAGTTTGAGGCCAGTCTGGGCTACCAAGTGAGTTCCAGGAAAGGCACAAAGCTATGCAGAGAAACCCTGTCTCGAAAAAACAAACAAACAAAAAACAACAACAACAACAACAAAAAAGAACTTACTTCTAGGTGGAACACTGGGCCTAAGAGCAGTACTCCATCTGAATGTCTTTTTTTAACAGTATTTCTAAAAAGCAGTCCTAACTAGCTTTATGCTCCTAATGACAAAGAAGCAAGTTTCATACTGCTTCTACTTAAAAAAAAAATCACTGAAGTAGATTGCAATAAATGTCATAAATATTTTTAAAACAAAAATAATCAAAACTGGAAAAAGCTAGACCCTTGGTATGAAGGAACTAAAAACAGGGGGACTCAGCTAGCCAAAGCAGCATGTGTTCTGTGCTAGGGGAATCCTTACTAGGCTGATACGACAGTAGGGGCCTGCTTGGGTCAAGGCTAAACCAAGTCATTCTACCCAACCCCTGCCAATGTGCTGCCACGGCTCCAGGCTACCTTTCCTTACTACAGGTCTGTGATGCTGTTTTTCAAATCCTGTGGTGACACCCACCTGCACTGGTGCTTCCCAGTGGCAATGAGGACAGCAACCTACAAGCCTCGGGTAGAACAAGCCATTGAAAATCACTGGAGCTTTCGAACCTCCATATTACGTACCTGTTCCCAAATTCAGTTTGAAAATTGAAAGAAGTGGACTGTAGATTATGAACATGCAAATTTTTGCAGAAAATACTAACTAGGTAAAAACAGATTTTGTTTAATTATTAAGACCACATTTTACAAAGTATTTTCATGCTCCCTAAGAATGTTGTAAAAAAAAAAAAACTAAGTAAGATAATCTTAACATATATATGAAATTACTCTTTACTGTTTATAGAAAATGTCTTAATATCTCACTGGTAAGATTTTCATCCATTGAATGCTCTACATTTTTTCTTCAAAAAGGAAAATGGTGTTATTTATTAAAGGAAAAATTTTATTTGAATATTGAAAATTTTATTAGTATATATTAATTATTCATTAAAAAGCAAATATGCCAACTACTATACCAACAAAACCCTGATAGAGTTATAGGGAAACTGGTCAGGCATATTTTATTCTGAAATTTTCATGGCTATGGACAATGCACCTGCTTTAAAGGAGAAACCCACATCCTGGTTCCAAAACACCAGGCCTTACCAAAGGCTGCTGGGGCTGCATTGCTTGGAGACCAAGGGCCTGACTCTGGGGCTGTGAGGGCTGCTGGGGCTGGGGGGCCTGCTGGGGCTGCTGCATCTAGAAAGAAAGAAAAAGATTATGGTAGACCCTTGAAATTGTGGTGCTAGGACACGTCTGAATAGCCTTTACTAATATACATTTTTATCCATTCCATTGCAGCAAAATGATGGGGGATATATTCTCAAAAATGTGTCATGGGTGATTCTTGCATTGTCTGAACACTGTACGATGTACTTAGAAAAATATAGGTAGTGTAGCCAACCACATTCCTGGGCTGTATGATACACTGGATAGCTTATTACTAGGGCCACGATGAACAAAATGAAATAAGATTGTATTAGGCACAAGATAAATGATGCAATTTAGAGGCATGGAAAACACAAGGTGCCTAAGGCTGCTGCTGCTAAGACACAGCAAGCACACTGTTTTACCGTGAATTGTTTCCCCCTAGTGTTCATCATTCAACCCAGGAGCTCATGCATCCTAAGCAAGTGCTCGACTGCTGAGGTACATCTCTAATAATGAAAGGTATTTTAGTAAGTAGAGTTATACTCCAAAATAACAATATAGAGTGCGGGGAATAAGCAGACACATGGGGGGAGATGACTCTTTTCTAGTATTAAGCACTTCACATTAACTACTGTGATGCCTTTAAATAATTGGCAGTGGGGTCACGACTCTTTAAGCCAGAAATGTTCAAACACATTTGCAGTGTGCGTGATGATGCTGTGATGTTAATGAAGGCTATGACATCATGAGGTAAAGGAGGTTTTTAGCTGCACTAAAATCTGAAGGGATCACTGTCACATCAGCCAGTCACTGACAGAAATGTCATCATGTGAAGCAAGATTGTAACCTTTCATCTTCCATCTTTACTTTGCCAAACCTTGCTCTTCCTTCAAGTGTAAGATATAACTGCTCCTCCAGGAAGTCTCCTCAGACCAACCCGCACTCACGTTCTCTTCCTCTGGCAGCCAGTGCGCACTGTCCAGGGTCACCCTGTGCACTTACTGTTTCGGCTTCTTTCACACCCTCTGCCTGGCCCCCCACAAGCTACCTATTTCACACTGCCAGGTGCCACAAGCAGCAATCAGGAATTCTCTTCTCTATGGTACTTGGGGGACCCCTGTAAAGTCCACTTGTATTTTTTTATAGGATGTAAACTATCCCATAGAATTTCTGAGATAAATTACCAGCATGCAACTAGAAAGCATGTCCAGACTAAGTTGGCTCAAATACATAGCTCTTAGAAAACAATTCTAAGTCGCAGAAGAAAGAATGTATGCACCAGGTGGGAAGGCAAAAAATAAAATAAAATAAAATTATTTTCTCTCATTGGCCTTTAATTACTCCATCCAAATACTTCATTCTGATGACCCGACTAGACTTTCATCATATGCACTTTCCAACTTTGTCTACATATTATTCCTCAAATTACTTTTTTTAAAGAGTGAAAATGATAAATCGCTACTGCCAGATCTGCAGTACTTATAGATTTGGCATCCTAGCAGAGGTCCAGAGAGGGTGAGTCTCAAAATGAGCAATGTAGGTTGAATGAGAAGCACTGCAGTATGAAGCCACCATTCACTTTGGTTCTCTGCAAAAATCTTTCAAGAAAGATGAACTCAACTTCTCAAATGCGGACTTTTTCCTTTATGCCAACAGCCAATCATAAAAAGAGGAATGAATGTAGTTCAGACACAGGAACAAATCACCTTCCTTCCTTTATTGCTGAGATATTGTTGATAAGAAATATTACTGGGGCATGCACTAACAGGGAAAAAGGTTCATGTTACCTAGTCAGGAAATGACTTATTTGTGACCTTGAAAATGCCCTTGGAAGGCAGAGTGTGATAAGTAAGTAATGCAGCAAGGTTCCTTGGTGAGTTGGAAATAACAAATCTTAACACAGAGACATTCAAATAGCTGCCCTGAAAAATATCTCCAAACTTGTAGAAAGGTGGCTTAAGAACCTATCATTCTCTGCTTAATAGTTACCTTAGTAAAAATATTGGAAAGAATATCAAACCAGTGCTTTACTTGAGTTTTCTTACTTAATCCTTGATGCACAGGTAAATAAATCTTTCCATTTTATTAATGCCAAAATTCAAGAGTATGTTTTCTGTTTTTGTTTTTTCCACCTTGGCAACAGCATCTATACAATGAATAGAACTACACATTGGTAGGCTAGACTCATGCAAATCAGTTATCATATATTATGAGTAATGTATCACAACTTTTAAAACAGTATATCCACAATGAGGATGTGATCATGGCTACCTTATAAACTGGAGCTCAGTTCTAGAGGGCTTGTCTTGACTTTGTATTACCTTTCGATACAATATACTACAATTCTGCAGATCATAACAGATGTAGACTTCCACTTCACTTGTGCTTATGACTGAAATTCTTAGGGGGACTATTCTTTTCCTTCTCTCTATCCAATGGGAAATTTGAGACACACAATTTCCTTTGTGTTCCTTTCTGCATGACTGCTTTCTTGCCTGTTTATCTCACAGAACAGACAGTTCTTCCTGTGTGCGTACCCTGTTCCACCAGATTCCACATTTCCCAGTATTTCTATGTAGGTACATAAAATAAAGCTGTACCTCATTTTGGACTAGAAATAAGACTCCACTTAACAGTCTTATCAAGAAATCTCCAACACAAAAACATCACTTGTTAATAATGAAAAAAAATTGGCACAGATTTAACATAATAGCCAGCCTGCCAGCCTTCCCTTCATCCTTCATCCCAGTGCTGGGGATTAAACCCAGGGCCTTGTACATGCCAGGAAGGTGCTTTACCAATGAGCCACATCCTCCATCCACAATAATGCTGGAACAAGGAAAATAAGAAATAAGAACGTGCTGAAGGGAGAAACTGTTTACCTAGAAGTCTCAAGTATTTATATCGAACAAACAAGTAATGGCTTTCTGGATTCTAACACAGAGCCTTCTGAATTATGTCACCTCCGCTTCTGTAAGCCATGGCTTAAGTAGAGTCGATTGTGGTAGGAACACAATGTCATGGACATCGGAGAAATGGCTGAAAACTGTGTTTGCTCCTGTCTGTTTCTCCCTCATGTATATGAAATTTTGCATTCAAATTGTAGGCCCTTAGTCAATTAGCAACTAGGCAAGCTGAGGTTCACATTTAAACTAAGGCCTCTATGTGCCTCCCCAGCCCCCCACCTGAAGTTTCGGGGAAAGGAAATGGTTCTGTAAAATGGAGTCTCCTGCTCATGGTCTGGCAGGTACAGAGAGAAGAAAATTCTTGGACTCAAGTGTACTAGCTAAGCTGCTAGTGTCAAATACACAGGGCTCCTTGGAACGGAATACTGCAACCTGAAGTGTCTTTCATTATGAGAACTCTGCATCTGCACTACTGGAAGGGATGGCATTGCCCTCACCTCCCTGCCCCATACCTGGAGGAGTCTCTGCTGCTGTCGAACTTGCGGCTGTCTGGGCCTCATTGGGTCCTGAGGCAGGGGCACCGAGGGGAGGTTGGGATGTGCGGGAGTCAGCACAGCATCAATTCCCCCGCCCACCAGAGGGCTCTGCTGTAGAGCCTGGTGGTTCAGTCTGGCAAAGAATAATGCAACTTGTGTTCAGGAACCAGGCGTACCATTGAAGTGTCAATCAGTGCCTCCAGCATTTTATACACATCCACCAAGAAACAATTCGTGTTCAATAATCATGTGTACAATTAAAAATGGGAAATGGCCAGAGGATCAGAAAACAGATCTGACCACATTGAAAAAAAAAGAAGAAGAAGAAGATAGTAAGCATACTACTTCAGACCAAGTAGCAATCATACAGAAATTATTTCTAAAAAAAAAATAGTTGTTAGCAGTAAGCGAAATAAGTTACTATTTACTTTGGAGCAGGCCACAAGTGGAAAGGCTGAACAATAGTATTTCATTACTCCTTACATATCCCTGTGTGAGGTCAGTAGTTTTCTTATCTAACTTTCAAAACGAAGGAATGGAGATAAGAGAAAAAACTAAGGTCACCCAGAAAACACATGACAGAGGTGGGATTTGAACCCGGAATTTTTGGGCCCTGAAGCCCAAGCTATTGAGCTTTGTTATGCCGCTACTTATTATAAAGATGGCAAATGCAATGCATGTTTTACAAATTAACTTATTTCCTGTAATGTGCTACCATCCACCTTCCTAATTTTCAGGGAGTAGTTGAGCAGACATGTGGGTCGTCTCTGACAGTAACACACGGGAGCTACGCTGCTCTCCACTCTACAAGGCAGAACTCTACAAACCTAATTCTTCTGAACTATACTATCCAATGGGGTTGCGAAATATGATAAATGATAATGATTTTTCATTGGTGCCATCCCATAACATGGCCTTTTGCTGCTAGGACTAGTTACATGATTATCAGATCTTAGAACTAAACAAAACCACAGGGCTCCCTGGTCCAAACAACACAATTTCAAGAGAGAGCAGAGCATCTAGTTGAACATGGGGCTTCCATAATCACCATAATCACCATGTCTCCATGTCGCCGCACAGACCATGGACCTCAAAGCTAGCCATGCTGGCCATAGCTGGCTAATGAGCACTTGAAATGTGACTAATGTGCCTGCAGAACTAAATGTTAAGCCAATTTTCATTCATTTAAATTTAGCCATGCATGGATAGCAGCTACAAATGAGCAGCACAGACACACCCTGTGTGGAAGGGATGCAATTAAAAGAACCAAAATGTCTATCATGAGTCATCACTGAGGTGGAAAAGATAGAAACTAAGTTGTAACTAAACTTGGTCAAACACCATCTACAATCAGTACTACAACATACATTGTATGGTTCCAATCAGCAAATTCTAGTAAAGGCACTGCTAACAATGATCAATAGTTTTCTTGGACACTTTTAATAAAAAAAAAAGTCTTTTGAGAAAAAGGAGAAAAGAAAGAACACTAGAGCTAACATATGGGTATCATCTGAAAATCTTACGCAGCACACAATGGAAGAAGTGAGTCAAAATCACAGTGTTCTTGAATGAAGGAATTTGGAACCTCTACTGCATGTTGATAAAAATGAGATGTCAGGACACAAATAGAGGAGCTCAAAAAACTGTCACAGTGTCAAATGCCTGGAAGAAGTGTAACAAAGCCAAGGCCGAGAGGGTTTACTATTGCAATTACTTCAACAGGTATCACCTCTGAGAGCCAGCTACGGGCTGCAGGTATGGTGAGGCCTGCTGCTGTGCGTAGCCACTTGGCTGCTGCTGAAGCTGTCGGAGTCTTTCCATCAGCGCTGGGCTGGAGTGTGTAGCTGGATAGGCCCTGGAATTGTAGCTCGGGGAAAGGACCACACCACCAGACTGCTGCTGAGCCGCCTGTTGCAAGGGCATCTGGGTTCCATACATTGTGTAGCCCTGGGGCATGGTCTGCAGGAAGGCACAAAGGAAGAAATCAGTGCTCCAATTAGCATCCATAGTCCCATCGCTAAGAAATGGAGAGGGGCAAGAAAATAAACCCAGGAGGTCCAACCTGAAACTCATGGTTTGCACAGACTCTGAGGACTCAAAATATGAGGATGGCTGCTCTGTAGGCAAGAAATCTAGCCAGAAACCCACAGTCTAGATTTGCTGGGCAACAATTTTGCAGAAATCTCTAGTTCAAAATAGGTGAATATTTACTTGGCTTTTAAGTTGAGTTGCTTATTTTTGGGCTAGGAAAGGCATCTTTCTAAATAGAAATAATCAGCATGGTATCTACACATTCAGTGCACAGATGGCAGCAACATCCAACAAAACCCAAACAATATCAGTATCATCTCCAAAGTTGGCCAAACAAGGTGTCCCAGCCCAGTGAACATTAAATTAACAGAGTATACTTTCCCATGAATACAAGTACCTATTTCTCTAAAATAGAGGACACCTATGTAAGAAACAAACATGGAGTTTTCTGGATCAGAAGATAACAATTCACTGAACAGAATGCTGTCTATCCTCTGGATCCTCGAAACACTACATATTAAAGCAGTTTAAGGACTGTGACTCTGAAGACAAGAGTAATACATAATAAACATGCAACAGCCTACAGGAACCCAGACTCAGGACTTGTGTGAGCCAATCATGGTTCTCCTTTCAGCTGTCTACACGGAATGAACTGCCAGCCTCAATACAAGTCTTGTTACACCAGACCTTCTTGTATAAGAGGAACGACATAAGGGTGTAAGGATGGAGAAATAATAAAACTACAAGGGGGAGGGCATGGATAAAAGCCTGCCTTGTTTAAAGGTAAGTGCACCATTTGTTTAGCATTTACTGTGTTAGTATGTTAATCCCATACATCAACTTGAATCCTACAGCTTTTCTCTTGATCTTACAAAGAGGAAGATAAACCTCAGAGAAACATACATGCCTTACAGCTACTGAGTCAACAGCACTTATATTGCGACCTGATTCAAAGACCCATTATCTTGCTCTACTGTGGTTCCTCACAGAAGTTATCTTTGAATATAAAATTTCTACAACAAATTATGCCATAATATATTATATCATAAATAACTCTGAGATTATTAAACAATTTAATTAATTAGTTGAGATAGGGTCTTAACTATGCAAGCCTGGTTGGCCTCGATCTTCCTACCTCTGCTTCCTGGGTGCACATTACAGGTATGTGCCACTGCCTTGGATTAAGTGCTTCAATATCTTTCATCAGTAGACAAGAAGTCTGAATTTATTTACATTTCTAATTGAGGAATTTCGTGGTCAATCCTTAGACTTATTCAACAATTACTGATCTGAAATGGTGAAGCAGAAGTAAGCACGTTCTAGATCTAGTTGATAACCAGTTTCCTTGATCTCCTACTCCTAACAAACACCATTAAGACATCAAGGAAGCAGCTCTGCTTCAAAGCCAATGTGGGTACCTGTGCTTGCTGCAGCCCTGGATACTGAGGGAGCTGAGGGGAGGGCCGTGCTTGTGCAGTAAAGAGAGCAGCCTGGTCCCCTGGCTGGCCCTGGAAAACAAAATCAAGACCAAGTCTGTAACTCCAAGTGCTTGATTTGACCTTCTGAATAGAGAACTTACAGATATCAGACCGCGTTCAAGGTGATTTCTCCCAATCCCCCATGTGGGCAGACTACCGACTTCTTCTTCAGACTACAAATGTTACCAACAGCAAGCCTCTCAGTGAAGTTTCTCAAATGACCTTCTAGGTACTAGAAGGGCATAAATGCTTTTCTGGGTAGGGAAGAGTCTCTAACATGTGACTCTCCATCACAGGCACTACCCAAGTCCAGTGGAGAAAGAGGTCATGGTATATATTCATCACATATAAAATTCCCAGGGCTTCTTTTTTTTTTTTTTAGATCTTTTTTTCCTCTAAACTTTATTTATTATATATACAGTGTTCTGCCTGCATGTATGCCTGTAGGCCAGAAGAAGGCACCAGATCTTATTACAGATGGTTGTGAGCTACATGTGGTTGCTGGGAATTGAACTCAGTACCTCTGGAAGAGCAGCCAGTGCTCTTAACCTCTGAGACCTCTCTCTAGGCAACCCAGGGCTTCTTAATGAAGTGCTATCACAGTGATCTAAAAACTGCATTCAGCCATGTAATCTGAGGAAAATTTAATACCTACTAAGACTAGATGGTAAGGTATACTCAATGAAAATATTCCACGTCAATAGCAAATGTAATTCCAACCAACTACATGTAGAATAAAGCCAGATAACTTCTATTAATTAGTCTTAATTTAATATACTTTGGTCTTCAGAACATTAGGCAATATGGACAGACATACATGAGCTTTATGTTCTGGTTACAGAGGTTATTTTATGGAAGCTTGCAGTGATAATTACAGGAAAAATAAGCCTAGTTTCTCACCATCCCTGGATTTTCCCAAGACTTAATTGTCAGGAAATAATAAGTTCACTGTGTATTTTACTACTGTCTCACAATAAAAAAAAAAAAGGTGCTAAATTATAGTTGTATGAAACCATTTTAGTGTGCTTCGGAAAAAAATATTTCTAACCAAGAGAAGGGATAAATATGTAATTTAGGTAGGAGTACGCCAATGCTAACCATATTAAGAATGCAGCATATGTCAGGCCTGGGCTGCTACAAAGACATGCCTAAACTCCAGTGATCTGACCCCAAAGCCAGAGCATCCCCACTGGAGTAGATACTTCCAAGGGTGATGCCAAGGGTGAGAGTACTTAAATGCCCGTGGGTACTTACTCTTTAAGGCCTAGTGACTTAAAACAGCCCCATAACAAATCTAAAGGAAAATGTATCTTTGTAGTTGTTATGAGATACTGAAACCAATTGTATTCTACATGGCATGGTGGAGTCCTCTATTCTCCACATGAAAATAAGTAGATGGCCAACAAAATATGAACTCAATGGCATCTTTAGGGGTTTTTTGTCTCATGTCAGGTCAGGACTTTTAAAAATTTGTATTTCATTTCCATTTTATATTATTTATTTATTTTTACCCTATATGTAGTGGGTAGCCTATTCCAGCTTTGATCTGGAAGTTCCAAGCCCCATTGAGGCTTTGGTGACTGTTACACCTACAAGACGGGGCCAAGGGAGGACCCTGAAGACCCAAGATCTGGATGTGCTGGCTCTCTTGGTTCCTGGACTCTGGACGCTGGAGGTAGCCCGAGCAGAGTTCTCCAGAGAACACTGCCGGACTGCACTACATCTTCCCCAGACCCTGTAAACTATCCCTTCACTTGTAAGTTATCCCACAAAATAAACCTCCCTTTTAACTATGTGAAGTGGCCTTAATAATTTCACCAATACTTATAGGTTCTCTGTGTGTGTGTGTGTGTGTGTGTGTGTGTGTGTGTGTGTGTGTATAAAAGCTTTTGGGTTTATGTTTTTATGGGATTCCCAATTGTGTAAAGGAGTGGGTCTCTGTGACTATAATTGTTTCTTGTGCCTTTGCTTGGGCTCTCTTCTTTGTTTTTGTCATATTATGATTTGTTTGCTTTTGTTTTAGCTTATTATATTTTATTATTATCCTTTAGATGCCTGTTTGTTTTCTAAAGAGAGACAGAATAAGGTTGGATCCAGATAGGAAAGGCAGTGGGGATGAACTGGAGGGAGTAGAAAGAGGAAGATCATAATCAGGATATACTGTAGGGGAAAAAAACTATTTAAATAAAATGAAAAAAAGAAAAACACACACAAGCAGAAAATTGCTTGGGTTCATTTATGAGTTAAATTCATCTAGACATGGTGAAACACAATTTTCTGAGTATATCTGCTATGGTATTTATATCTGACCACTTTAGTAAGACTCTAGCCTTTTAGAGTAAGTTCCCAAGAAGATATTCTCATTACTCTCTTAAGTATAACCCTGTCATTATATAGTTGAAACTAAGAACAGTTGCCCAGATTCCCACATTGGGGTCATTGGGAGCCCAACTTATCTTCTCCCAGTATCCTCAAAAGTCCATGCTCAGGAACCATTAAACCAACCACAGATCTTTAATATCATTCCTTTGATCTATAATTCTTGACATTAGTATCATATAAGGTCTCTGAAGTAGTCCTGGACTTCTGCAGGGGATAAGCACACATGTAATACCATGTTTGCAGACTAAAAGAACACTCAACTACTATATGTAAGTTAGAATCCTAGGAATGACAGCTGACCATACCCAAGCCTTTTCAAGTCATCAGGAAATAGAATGTATGCACAGCTACACACACATACACAAGGCATGTCTAATGCTTTGATCCTCCTCTGATTACTAAACATCAATATGGAATACACTGTGACTAATCATGTTGATCTGTCTCAGTCATCAGGTGACATGCTTGCTGGCAAATAGCAGCTGAGGCTATGGAAATTTAAGAAACAAAGCATAAATTACTTTCTACATAAAAGGATCACAAAAGTAACTCAAATAAAGGTGTCACAAACTTTCTAAGAAGCATGGAAAGGATGGAAGAGATGGCTCAGTGTTTGAGAGCTCCCAGCACCCACATGGCAACTCAAAACTGTCTAACTCTAGTTCTAAGAGATCTGACACCCTTACACAGACACACACACATAGACAAAACACTAATGCACAAAAAAATAAAAATAAATTGTAAGACAGAAGCATGGAGGAAAACTAAACTACAGTTTGACATTCTGAAATTCATGCCAATCATTTGTATCTGAAGATGATCTATTCATGTGTAAACATATTGTGTCCTGTCCCCCATATCCAAGGTCAGCAGAGGTCTATAATATTCTCCCTGAGGGAAAAAACATCACAAGTTCGTTGGTACTCACCAAGTTGTTTTTGAATATTTTTGGCATCACATAGAGCATCTAGAAGGGAAATATCTTAATCACTCCCCTACCACACTAAAGCAGATTCCTGATTTCCTTTTCTTTCTTTTTTTTCCTACCTTCCTTTCTTTTTTTGTAAGAACAATGCCAGGAACATCTTATTTCAATTTGTAAAAAAAAAAAAAAAAAAAAAAAAAAAAAACAGTTGGATTTTTTTTAAGAGAAAATAAATACAGAACAGAGTGGGGAATAGCCTTGAACTCATTGGTACGGAGAGACTTTCTAAACAGGACACCAACAGCATAGGCACTAAGATCAGCAATCAACTGGACCTCATGAAATTGAAAAGCTTCTGTACAGAAAAGGATGCTGTCCTTTGTATAAGAGGTATCCTACAGAAATGGGAAAAATTTTGGCAACTACACATGTATATGTGTGTATACATACATATGTATATATAAACACACACACTCAAAAACTGCACATCAAGAAAACAACCCAATTTAAAAATGAGGTACAAATCTAAACAGAATTCTCAAAAGATGAAATGCAAATGGCAGAGAAACTTTTAAAGAAATGTTCAACATCCTTAGTCATCAAAGGAATGCAAATCAAAACATCTTACAGCAGTCAAAATGGCCAATATCAATAAAAGTAATGACAGCTCATGCTGGTGAGGATGTAGAGTAAGGGGAATACTCATCCATTGCTGGTGGAAGTGCAAACTCATCCAGTCACTATGGAAATCAGTGTGGCAGTTCTTCAGGAAGCTACCTCAAGATCCAGGGGTATCACTCTTGGTCATATATCCAAGGAACTCTGTATTCCAGTATTGAGATACTTTCTTAACCATGTTCATTGCTCCTCTATTCATAATAGGCAGAAATTGAAAACAGCCTAGATACCCATCAATTAATGAATGAATAAAGAAAATATCATACATTTACACAATGGAATATTACTCTGCTTTAAAAAACACTAGCAACCCCCCCCAAAGGAAACAAATAAAAACAAAAAAACAGAAACCTGAAATCATAAAATTCAAAGGTAAATGGATGGAGCTAGAAAATAATCATCCAGAGAGAGATAACCCAAAAGATAAACAAGATATATATTCATGTATATGTGGATGTTTATTGTTAAGATGTTAACATCTTCAATTAGCAGGCTATAATCCATATAATCACACAGATTTAAGTATAGAATAAGGGACTAGGGTGTAGGGAAGGAGCTCCCTAGGAAAGAGAAATAAAAAAGATAGTTATGGATGAACAGAGTGGGGTGGAGGAGGAAAAATGGAAGGATCAAGTGGGGAGGGGAAAGAGAGAGGGGATGAGAAGGGAAGTATGGGGAGAGACAGATAAAACTATGTACTATTTGAGGGGTACCTAATACATAGAAGCTTCATAAAACATATACATATAGGAAGATGATCTAAATGGAATTGCCAGATAACGGAGGTCGGGTGAGAAGAAGTCCCATCTGGATATCTCTCATCACCAAAGGAAGCCTACAGTTCGGGGAATGGGTCACATCTAATTGAGTTTTTAGCTCAAGGGGATCCATGGGAACACCCAAGCAACTCAGGCTATTGTCGATGATATGGTTTCTTTTCACAACTGGATGTCTCAATCAAATCCTTAACTTGAAGTATCAGGGAACCCCAAGGAACAGGAGGCAGAATGATTTTAAGAGCCAGAGGGGATGGAGGACACCAAAG